TTTTTTTCTTTCTCTCTCTCTCTCTTTCTCTCACTATTTTCGTTTTGGTTCCAAGGTGAAAATCTTATTCTTCTTCATGAAATCAACTTGATCCACCTAAAATTCATCATCAGATTGATTTGAGTAGTTCTCTTGCATATTAACATCATGATATAAGTAAAACAAGAAGTGATACCGATGCTGATTCTTTGGGGAAAAAATTATCCATTGTTCAGTAAAGGTAATCACGGTTATCAGATGAAAAATTTCCGACAGATTAGGGCGAACTCATGCTGATTTATTTTTCTCCATGTAAAGATAATTATCTCTCACTTCTGAATAGCTGAGAATATCATGAAATGGATAAACGTATCAACGAAATGTTGAAAACAAGTTCCATGGTAAATTCATTGACAGGTAATAACAAGAGACTCAACACCAACATGAATTTTCATCAACCAAACTTTTGACACTTTTCCTGTTGATGGAAAACAAGTTATCATGTTGAGTTTACTTGATTATCTAAGTTAATTTAAATTTAAAATCATCTATTAGCCTGATACCATTAAATTTGATGGTTATTGTTATGATTATCACTCTATTTGGACATTTACCTCGAAAGTGTAATAATAACAGTCTGATGATTTTCCAAATCGATTCAAGAGCCTACAAAAGTATCTCCTCCATTCATGGTTATTGAAGATAAATGAAAAAGGAAATCAGATCCATCATTTAATCATAATTGTTGATTAGAAATTAATATTTAATATTTGATTGTTCAAGGTTCGACTTTAACGAAACGATCAAACTTTTCAAGTCTATCGACTTGATCTCGATTCAATTTCAATTCAACCAACGAAAAGTATTTGCAATTAGTAAATTTGATCTCTCTCTCTCTCTCTCTCTCTCTCTTTCTTTCTTTCTAATTCCATCAATAACTAATTAAGAATCATAATTATCAATTGATTTTCGATAACAAAGTGACAATTAATTGTATGAAAAGAAGAGTAAAAATCTTTTCCATCTTTTCACTTTTCACTTTTTCGTTTGATTATTGTTACATTCATTATCCTTTTTTTAACTCTTACCTGACAATTAACTAATCAGGTTGTTCATTAGTATGAGGAAGTTAATCAATTAAAATATTAATCAGGTAAATGATAAAATTCTCACTCACAATATAATATGTATAAGATTAAGTATCATCATCATCTCATCATCAACATTAATCATCAAGTTTTTTGTTGTTTATTTTGATTTTTTTTTCTTATTGTTAATATTTGTGAACAATTCACATTAATTGATTTACTACGATCAAGCTCATCAACAACAATCAATTCAATGATTAAACTTAATGGTTGATTGTGTCCAATAGGGTTGGGAAGTGATTATCTTATTCTGTATAATATATAAATTGTTATCTTTCAATATAATAAAAAGATTCACATTCTTATTGTTGATTATCATGTTTTCATATGATCAATACAACAACAACAAAAAAGGTAAGACAAGAAAAAGTTACATCAACAATAACAATTAACTAATCATTTGAAATGATATTAATGTTTGTATGTTTCAATGAATGGAAAACAATAATTTCTATTCATCATCTCCAATGAATCAGAAATTAGTGTGATAATTAACCTTAATTATGTTATATTATTATCACTTTATGTCTCTTACCTTTGATTATTTAATTACTACTGATGACAGAAGCAACAATTAACTATCTCATATGGTTAATCTTAAAAGTTGATTAAATAATTTGATAATTTCACATTTTATATTACCCTTTTGAAAACCCACGCCAATTACAATTAGTTAATTAGCACCACAATTGGTTATTAGGGCGTGAGAAATTAACTAATAATAATTTAAGATGATGATGATGATTAAGATTAATTTAACTTTTCTCTTCAAGATAATCAAACGCCTTTGACGATTATCTGAATTAATGATGATTCTGAATACACTCAATCGGAAATTATAACAAATTAGACAATCAATTTAAGGTAATTTATGATCTTTGTTTTAATTGTTGGTCATTAATTTACTTACATCGTAAGGATAACGTGTTTATCATGAGTAGGTGAAAGTTTTATCACTCGTTTAATTGTGATTAGTTTAAAAACGTGTTCAAGTTTAATTGTTGACGATATTAACTAAATAGATATGCTCATTATCATTATCATCAATCAACAAATCAAGGTACAAATATAATTAACAATTGTCAAGATGTTTAACTAACAATTAGAATCCGTCACAGTATTTAACTTAATTTATTGTAATGGTAAATTGTAATTTGCTTAATCATTTCACTTGATTATGTTAACTAACCAACAATCAACTTGAGGAAGGATATTTGATTAATTCAATATAATTAAAGGTATCTCAAGGATTGTAGACAGTAAATGATTACCTAATCATCATCAATAATCATCATTAGATGTGATTAGTTGTAAGCAAACAATTTATTGATTTAATGATAAGAAAATTAATTTGCTTTTTCAGTTAAACAATTGACCTTAACCATTGGAAGTGTAAAATTAATTATTGATTGTTGTTGATTACAATCAATAATTACTACCAATGGTTAATGGGAACCTTGTTGTTATGATTAAGATTTCGTGGATTTTGATCAAATGAAATTAATTTTAATCATTTGTTGATTTTACTTTTTGTATTATTTACCACAGAAATGATTTTAATTGTAATTAAATGATTGGCCTTTTCTGCTGTGTTTGAATATGAATGTTGATTACAATTAGTCATTTAATCACGATTCTTGATAATAAAAGTTAAATTAGTTGATTATTCTAGTTAATTTCAGGTCAGTTAATCACGATTTCAACTGTTTTAATCAATTCGTTTCTAACAATTACAATCAAATGATTAAGTTTTTGATTAATTTCTACAATCGATTTAATTGTTGCCACAAATACCTAGAAAATAAGTTAATTTTTTTTTAATTATCATGTTAATTGTTGAAGAGAAAGGTAAAACTAAACAGGGTAGCACAATTAATCGTTGAAAAATTAACACAATTTAATCACCAAAACAGTGAAACAATTAAACGTGATTCAATTTTGGGTGGAAAATTAAATAATAAATGATTAGTTTGATGATACTTTTAGGATCAATATCATTTTAATCATAACTTTAATTGTTGTTAGTTTAAATTGTTTCTCACCAATTTAATAATCTTCAAAGTTAATGATTCGTTTAAATAAACATCATCTTCTTGATTGTAATTTAAACACATAATCAGTTGGGAGAATCAGTTGAATGGGTTAACCAATAAGTTTTTTTTTTCTTTGCTTCTTCTTGATTGTTAATTCATCTTGATGATTATCATTACAATCAGTTAATAGTTATTATTAGTTAATCACAGGTTGAGAAAAAAACTTCCGGATCCATTTTTCTGGTAGCAATTAAGGCTCATCAGTTGACTGAATATCTAACAGTTAATCAGTAAATCAGTTGAATCGTTTCACGAATCAAGGTGAATCGTAACTGATTCTAATTGTTAATTCAACAATTTAAATTAATTGTAAGTTTACCTTTTGTTTTATTAAAATCACATAACCAAATAAAATGATTTAATCAACAAAGTAACATTGATTTTGGCTTGATTGTAATCGCGATTATCGTAATTGTTGCTTTAAATTGTAAAACTTTAGATTATAACAAATAACGGTAATTAAAAGGTAAATATAATCAGTGAAAAATTTAAATCATTACAGTTAATTGTTAATGAGAAGCAGCTTATTTATATTACCTTTTTATTAATAAACTTTTTTTTCTGCTCGAGTTAATTGTTGTTGTTGTTTGTTGTGTGGTATTCAAATTAACTAATCAAGTTTATTAGCAATTTAGTAAACATTAATGATTATGATTAAACGCCTTCAATGTAAACAATAATAGTAATATGATCAATTATGATTAAAAAAAGAGTGAATTAAAAATTTACTTTACAAGGATTTAATTGTTGCAAAAAAAAAACAATAACAAAACTGAAGCAATTAATAAGTTAATTACTATAAGTTTTTGATTTTCATTTAAATGGTTAAGAAATTTGCTTTTGCATAATTAGATTAAATCAATTACCTGAAGGTATTAATGATTAGGTGATAAAAAGTGATTATTATTAACATTTACCAGAATAGAATCAATTTTGATTTAGTTTGCGATTCTTGATTGGGAAATTGTATCAGGTGAAAATGAATGAATCGCTGAAAAGAAAACTAATCAATTAATCATCATGATAATTTCCATGATTGTCAAGAAGAAGATGAGGATGATGATGAGAAAGAAGAAGAAGACAAATGTCAACTCTTTAAGTTCTAAATTTTTGTTCTTTTTTCTTTTTTTCTTTTCTTTTCTTCTTATTTTCTTCTTAAATATTATCATCAGTTGGAATCAGTTTTCATCTTTTACCTGGAATTTCAATGTTATCTTGTTCATCATGAAATTAACTCTCAACAGGTAAGATGAATAAGAAACATAAACTAAATGAAAAGTGATCATCATCTTGATGATCACTATTTTACTTTTTCATCCTCATCTTCATTAGCATCATCATGGCCTTGGAAAAGTGAAATAAACACACATTCCAATTGAATTGAGGTAACAATTAGCAAAGAAAAGTCTAGTTTGTATATGTAGAGCACCTCGATGGCCCTAGAGGATGAAGAAGAAAGGAAAAGATGATGAGGATGATAATGATGAAGATAAAAAAACTGTTTATTCGTGAGGATGAAATAGTAAAAACAAGAGAGAGAGAGAGAGCAAAAGAAAGAGAAGATAAAAGATAGAGAGAGAGAGAGAGAGAGAGAGAGAGAGAGAGAGAGAGAGAGAGAGAGAGAGAGAGAGAGAGAGAGAATTAGTAACCACGCCAGTGACTCACCTTCTCGCTTTCATCTTCCTCTAACAATCAACATCATCATCTTTCCATCCCTTCCTCTTTTCTCCCTCAATAACTCAGCTCTCCTCTTCTCTCTCTTTCTCATCATCATCATCTCTTCTTTATTCATATTTATTCAGAAGGTAAACTGAATTAGACAAGTAAAATTTACCTGTAATATTTTCACTCATCTTTCAAATTCTAAACGTGGTTTATTACAACCAACGAATAACTTTCCAAACTGTTTGAAGAATTAAAGTTTTCTTTTCCTCTCCTTTTATTATAATAAAAACTTACCCTTTTTATCGTAAGTTTAAAAAAATTCATCTTCTCTCTTTCTCTCTCTTTTCCCTCCATCGTCCTTGGATCATTATTTCTCTTCATCTTCATCTTCATCTTCTCTCTCTCTCTTTCTCTCTCAGCTCTCTTGTAACGCACTCCCTTACCTGTTTCATTTCTCTTCTTGTGAACAACAAGCTAACATTTTGAGCGCGCCTTATATACTTAGTATATTTTCTTATACTTCTTCTTATATATTTTATCTTATACTTCATCATCATCATCATCATCATCATCATCTTCATCTTCATCTTCTTCTCTTGCTTCTTGTTGTGAGTAAATTCCTGTTTAAGGTCATTGGGAAATGGTTCTTGTGAAAATGTTGCTTTCCTTTTGATTTCACACACTCAATACAATCTACAAATTGTACAACAACAAACAAGTGAACGTCAACACATGTTAATTTATAGTATTTTCCTATGGACTCAATTTCTGTGTTTATGTTGACCAATAAGTGACCATTGAAAAGTGATTTTCGTGTATCGATCTCTCTGTGTGTTTTTTTTATTGATTAACTTGTTGATACATTTAAAGGAGAAACAAAGAGTGATCATGTCTTACCTTTACCATGGACGGAGCCCAACGTCCCGAGGACAATTTCCCATAATTGTGACCAAAGCTAAAAACATTTTACCCGCCAAAAGGACACCATCCACATCATCATCTTCTCGTCGATCTGGATTAAGCAAAAGTAAATCATCCAGATTAGCAAACATTGCAATCTTGAGTCAAATGAATAGTCATCATCATCATCATCATCATCATCTTAAAAGTAATTCATCAAGTCCAAGTAATGGAAAGGGAGCTTCAAATGGTTCACCAACCAGTGAAGTCTATGGAAGTGTTAATCGAAACGGTTCATCCGCTTCATATGGTTCATCTTATCGTGGAAGTGATAAAATGTATACACGAAATAATACCCGATATAAAAGTAATTTAAATGAGGAAATTAACCGGATGTATATTGAGGAAGGCCTTAAATCAGGTCTTTTGGAAAAGACTAAAATCAAGAAACCTGATGAAACTGGAAATGGTTCTAATGGTGTTGGTGGTTATAGTGAAACTGATGGTGCTTCTGATGGTACTGGTCGTTCAAATGGAAAGTTAATTAAGGGTAAATCATGTTCATCTAAATCAAAATCACAATCAAAGGGAAAAAAACGAACCTCCAAAGAGTTACAAACATTTATCATGAGACGAATCCTTTTATGTACAAACATAGTTACTCTGATTATCGGTATAACAACATTGGTCATCGCTGGAATCCTTGACCCACAACCTCTTCACCGAATCGGTACAACAGGAGGTCAAATTTCATTAGCATCGATATACATTATCTTTGTTTCCCTCGTTGGCCTCTATGGTTCTCGGTTGAAAAATTATCGTCTTCTATTCATTTTTGCTTACACTCTATTAACTGGATTAGTATTGAGGTCGTTTGCAGCTCTAATCTCCGTTTACATTTATCATAATGCTAATCGATTAATTTTCTCAATGCTTTTCGCTATCATTGAGGTCATTTTAATATTCATGGGACTTGCGGTTGCCATTGACCTGAAAGAGGAGCACATTCGTAAATTAACCCAATCAACGTCACCCAATTCGTTTAAAGTTTGAAAATTTGTTCGCAAAGTTTTTTTAACGACAATTTAAACTTTGTTGCGATTTTTTTTCTATACTTTTTTTCGTCCAAAATTCATCCATCATGTGCCATTGAGGAAAAATTGGAAATTCTATCCAGTTTTTTCTTTTTCTTCTTCTTCTCTTCATTTCTTACCTTTTCTATTCCCAATTCGATTCTAATCATCAGGAAAACCGAGTTACCTCAACCACGAACATACAACACAAATTCACGTCCTCATGGATCAGTCAATTCATTCGTCAATCATTTACCTGGTTGACATTTTTTTTCTCTTCTTCTTTTCTATTTCTGTCATTTGTTATTCTCTCTGCTCTTAATTTCCCTTCTCATGAATCAATATCTTCTACTTTTTTCCTTGTAACGATCGTTAGAACAATTTGTTGAATCTTCTTCGATTAATCGGTGTTTACTTTACACAGAACGTAAATATTACTTCCTTGTATTGGAAAGTTAAATTATATATTTTTCTTTCAATGATAAATCAACAATCGTCAACGAGAAATTGATCAAATATGAAAATTACCTCAAGGAAACAATTAAAGTCTGTCAACATAATGATCACTAAATTAGCAAAATTTATTAACATCTATCCGATCTCAACTAATTATCATCAGAATCATCATTCAATTACAATGCAATCGGAATAATGAGTTCAACTAATCAATTGGAAAGGTAATAATTTACCTATTCTTGGCTCTCTGTAAGTTAATCATCTTGATTTCTCTTGATTATACAATCAACTAATTAACTTTTTGTTTCTTCAACTTTTCCAGATAAATTAAAGTTCAAACAATTAACTTGATCGATTTAATTTTTCCATGACCATCGAATTGCTTAAAATCTGATCTGATCTCAGATCTGAATCGTTACAAATGAGCTGCTTAATTTGAACGATAATTAGGCCTGGTAAATTGCAATATTGATCTCCGACAATCAATTACAATCTCCAAAGGAGTAAAAAAATATCACACAATTAATCAACCACTTGATTAATCATAATTTAAATGATACAAATGATTCAATCTCTAAAAACATAGCATGTTAATCAACTTAAAGTCCAACATAATTTCATTGATTCTGCAAATTATAAAACCTTAATTAGAATTAAAAATGAAAAAAAAAACTGAATGATCAACTCACTACATTCATGATCCATTGATATTGTTAAATGAATGTAGTTAAATTAGTCAAGCCAACAATTAATTGAACAAATTATCAGCTAATATGTAAAATCGTAACATTGGAAAAACTTATTTTCATATTTGTTTTTTTGCTAATCAAATATTAAAAAACAATTAAGAGAAAAATTTTAATTTCATCAACTGTAAACAATTAAATTTTCATCTTCTCCTCTTGTATCATAATAATAACAACAATTAATGAAATTCTTATACTCAAGATTAAATTCACTATTAAAATATACTACCAAGTATCTCGGTTTCTATCAAATGATTAACAAACAACTTCGTCAACAATTTAACTCTAAATCGTTAAGCCTTTTGCTTGAGAAGTGATTAACTCTGTGGAGAGAAAAAAAATCTCATGATGAATTAAATTACCTGTTGATAGTTAGTCTCATGACCATGAATCTAATTTCCCTCCACTTTTTTTTTCAAGAATTAAATTGTTAACCTTGAATTATAATTATCGTTGTGTTGTAAAGGCGTTAGTCAAGTTTATAAATCAACAATTTCACTTGTTAATATTAGGAAACATAATTTGCAGATGATAATTTAAATAATACAATTACATTCATCTCATGATTAGGAAAACAATCAACAAAACCGAGATTGATTGTAAAAACTTTTCACCAATTTCAATTGATTGATTACATATGAAATTACCATTTTATCATCAGATGAGCTTAAATGATTGATTCAAATGGTAATTAAAATGAACGGTTAGGTTTGTTACTGTTTTACTTAATTTAGTGAATTAATATTACTAAATTAACAGGTTTGGTTTGGTCGGTTTGGAAACAGTTTTTAATTGAATTTCAACTGGACAAGGGAGAAAGTGATCAAAATAGATTTGATTAACACCGATTTTGAGGGGAGATCGTTTCAGTAATCGGGAAAATGATTAAGACGATACAGGTAAGCGTATCCTAGGTTGTTTGCTAGGGCGATATAACCGCTATTTGGTGAGATGTCAACTGCGTTTACCCGTCTAAGGTTGGAAAAGGAAACGGGAAAATTTGAGAAAATAGTACAACTTGGAAAGTGAACTAATTTAACACAATTATCGGCGTGACTTGATGATATAATGGCCAATTCTGAGCTGTTGTTAAATTTAATTGAGTTGATCGGTGTTTTCAGGTTGGTGAAATTTTTTATCGGCTTAGGATTCTGGTTGGTCATGACGTCTTCATATTTGTAACAATTGACAAGGCCCGATTGGTCTCCAGTGATAAAATATCCAGTATTTGGAGAAATTGATAAAGATTTACAGCTAATTGCACCATCATCGTAGAAACGGTGGAAACATCGCTTAGTTTGTCTCACATCATAGCAATAAATTAAACCTTCATCACCACCAGCAAATAGTTTAGTTGAATCGGGAGAGAAACATAAACTATGAACTTCATCATTTAACTGGAATGAGGTGATGATCTCTTTAGGTTTCATACTCATAAGGTAGAAACTATTTTTACGACCAGTGCTGGCGAGATATTGTCCATTGGGTGAGAGAGTAAAATCTTTCAATGCAAGCCGATCTTTACCCATTAATAGTGGTACTCGTGAATGAACACTGGTTCTCATATTGTAATTGTAAAAATAGCCAAAAGTTGTCTTGGATCCAATAATTATATCTTCTCCGTCAGTAGTGAAACAAGCTCGATGTAACTGGAAATTTTCAAGTAACACTGAGTTAAGTTTCTTATTATCGTCTCCATCTACATTTACAATATCGATTTGTCCATTCATCCCACTGATAAAGGTAACGTTTCTATCTGGATGAAACTGGACACTATTGGCAATAGTCTAAAAGGAATAGAAAAAAAACAGAGATCAATAAAGATATTTCAATGTGATTTTTAAACTGAATTTCTTACCGGTAATTTAGTCAAGTGAGTGCATTTAGAAAAACCAAGATTAGTCTTAGGAAGTCTCTTTCCATCAGTAATTAAATCTCCAGCCTCAGCAAGAACATCGAAATCTTCATCAGCAGATCGTTTGGCTGCAGCTCTAGTCGCCCAGTTGGGTCGACCATAGATGGTCTCAAATTTAGAGACTAAATAAGATCGATAGTCGGTGAATGGAGTTACTTTTCTAGGGAATTTAGAGCTAGGAAAACCTTCGACGGCACTGGAAAAGAAGAAAGGAATTGATTAGGTATCGGTGAATAATTGGATTTCCAATGGAATTACTTACATTATGTCGTCATCAGTATCAGCCCAAGCTGCTTTTCTCCAGCGCTTTGGTCGCTCATCTGTTTCTTCTCGTTGTTTCTTTTTACGAGGTTCACGAGGTTTTTGCGGCTCCACCAGTTCTAGAAGTCCCTTGTCCGGAAGAGTATCGATAGTGAAACCATCCATGATAAATGAAATTTGAATTATTTAAGCAAAAAAAAGAGAATAGGAGTAAAATATAAAGAGCCTCAAAGTTGAAATGGGTGAAAAACAGAGAGGTTATTAAGCAAATCAATTAAAGTTCCTTGGTATGATTTAATCTACCACGATGATTAAATGTATAAAAAGATGGCCGATTCTCTAATGTTTCACAAGTTTTTGATTTTAATTCACTTAGAGCTCGAATCTCTTTAAAACCATCACACAAAGAAACAATTCCAAATAGAGAAACAAAAAGACTAAACAAAGATTGGAAAATTATATCAATCGGTAAGAAACCATCAAATTCTTGGTCAATCAGTCTAAGGTGAGAACGATACTGGGCAGCAGAATAAGCACAATGAATAAGTGAAAGAATACCAGTAATAATTAACACTTTAGACATAATTAATTAATCAACAATCATAACAAACGTGCTCTCAACAATCAGCCTGTTCCAATGCTCATTAACCGAAAGGCCTTCAACATAGAAGGGACCGTATGCTAAGTACGAACCAAGAAAAAAAATTCTGATTCTTTTTTGGGTTAATTGAATTGTCTCAAGTTGAAGTTTAATTGTTTGTGAGAGATTTTTAATTTGGTTTGAGAAACGACAACAATCAGATTTAATGGTAATCGTTAATAGAGGACAGAACAGTACAGGTAAAGAAAATATTAAGATATTTAAATAATAAGAGATGATTGATCTTCTCATTTGAATACATTGAGCCTTCGTTATGATTTGGTTCACATTTGATTAACTTGAATTACCATGGAAATATTTATATTAATTGTTTATGGAGGACAAAATTAATTGTTTGATTATTTGATTCACTTTTGAAGAAACGGACACTTCCCAAAATGCAATAGGTTTTATAGGAAAATATTTACAGTCACACAGAAAATTAAGTTTTTTTTTGTTTGATATTCTGGTTAATTGGAATCTTCGAGAAAAATAGTTTCTTTAAAATTGATCATTGAAACGATAGAAATTGATTATTTTCAGGTTAATTAAGAGATGTTTTAAAAAGTTATGAAAGATTGTGGTTTAGATGAGCGATTTATGATTTATATCGGGTGGTAAACTTAATTTCTTGCTAAGAAATTGCGTCCAAGTTTAAAATATCGACGATACAATGACGATGTTTTTTTTTCCTTCAAGTTGATACCATTAATTGTGATTGACTAATTGAGAACTTTGATTCTTGAATATTGCAAATCGACGCTTTTTAAAAAGTTGAGATGATTAATCAGTTTCATTCGAATTATTTCTGATTAAACCTTTAACTCTTTCCAAAACACAACTCGATGATATTCGAGCTTCGGCATCTTGATCCCAACATTCTTCGATTGTCTCACAGATCTCATTTAGTCCACGATAATTTCTCCAAATCGCTTTGATCTCTGGTCTCTTTTTCGCCTGACAAACGGCCTCCTGCATATCCTCAAGACTCGGATTCCCTCCGACCTCTTCTTCAAATGGAAGCATCAATTTACCAGGAATTAAAGTTCCATCTTCTCCCTTGCATCGAGATAATATTTCCCAAAGAACCAAACCACAAGCATACATGTCGATTCGAGTCAAAGAGTCCAGTGTAAAGTTCACCGCACCTTCGAGTACTTCTGGTGCCATATACCGACGAGTCCCGACCTGTCCTAATCCAGAGGGTAATCGATCGGGATAAAAGATGAGACAGAGTCCGAAATCAGCGATTCGTGGGGTTAGGTCACTTTTTAGAAGAACATTTTTCGACTTGAAGTCTCGATGAGCGATAGCGGGCTTATTATTGATACTTTTAGTCGACGGAATCTCATCATGAAGATGAGCCAATCCTCGAGCAATACCTTCACTTATCTTCAGCAACTCATTGAATCCGATGGTATTATGCTTGAGGTAATCGTACAAAGAACCAAGTTCATGATATTCACTGATAATCCAATATTCAACACCGAAAGGGACTCCATCATTTTCTCGTTTCTCGAATCCCAAAAATGGAAGAATATTTTCATGTTCGAATTTTGGCAACATGAATACTTGTTGTTCTGCAAGCCAAGAGTTTTTCTCTTGCGAAGGAAATATTTTAACGGCCACCCATTTCTCGTCAATGAAACCATTTTCATTCGGTAATCGGGCTTTCCAAACGGCACCGAAACGACCTCTTGATCTCTCTTCAATCATCTCCAAATTTTTAAACCGATAAAACGACTGCTCGTTAATGGGAACCGATTCATCACTGTTACTCAATTGATCACTAAAAGCTCGTGACTTGTTCCGATGATACCAACTGATGATTAAAACGATTCCCAATAAGATGATTAATGATGGGATAGCAACATAAATTGATAACCATAAAAGATTTGAATCGTAAGTTAATGTCGGCGTTGGTTGAGCGGGTGATTGTTCAATTTTACTCGCTTCCGGGACTGGTAAATGATAAATATCATAATTACAAAGGTTCGTTGAACAGCAGCAGAAATAATAACCATTGGGAGATTTACGATCTCTTTCAATACACCGAGAATGGTCATCACAGGTAATCTCTTTACTTGGAATACAACCGGACAGTTTTACTTCAATTCCTTCAGTTGTATTGCTCCAAACGACGTAACAATGATGAGGTCCAGTTTCATTCGGATTGGATGAACATCTAATCACCTTTTCTTTAGGACAATCACCACCAAAACATCCAGATTTCGACCAGCATTCAAGATCATTTTTGTTGGATTCCAATGATGGTGTAGTAAGTGACGAGGTTGCAATGTACATTTCACACAATAGGATAGAGAAAGAAAATTACAATAGAATTAATTAAGTAAGAGAAACATAGAAAATGAAATTTTTTTTTTCTCGCTTGAAGTGAGTAAATCAGATAAGTAAAAGGTAAACTTTCAAAAGCATTCACAGAATAGGGAAAACATTGGATGATGATGATGATGATGAGGAGATGAGGAGATGGAGAGAAAGAGATAAAAAAAATATAGAGAGAATCTGAATGATTCAATGAGGGATTAAAGATACTGATCAATGGTCTCTATAGTGATTTAATCTACCACGATGATTAAATGTATAAAAAGATGGCCGATTCTCTAATGTTTCACAAGTTTTTGATTTTAATTCACTTAGAGCTCGAATCTCTTTAAAACCATCACACAAAGAAACAATTCCAAATAGAGAAACAAAAAGACTAAACAAAGATTGGAAAATTATATCAATCGGTAAGAAACCATCAAATTCTTGGTCAATCAGTCTAAGGTGAGAACGATACTGGGCAGCAGAATAAGCACAATGAATAAGTGAAAGAATACCAGTAATAATTAACACTTTAGACATAATTAAATTAATTACGACGAGAAAAAAAGATAAACATTGAAAAGTGAATTTAAATTCACTTTCTGTTTGTTTACATTTCAATGAACACGCATGTACATCTAATCCCATCTATGGGAAAATCAAAGCACCAAAATTAGAAACACAAAGTAATTAACATTTTTTTGCAATTTTCTAACAATTAAAGTACAATTAGTTAATTTTATTATCTTATTTATCTTTAAATCTAAACATTAACTTTAACGTTGACTGAGAAAAAGAAACAAATAAAATTATGTCCACCGGATTTACTTTAATTGTTTTGATGTTTTTTAAACTTACAAGGTTGTGATGGTCAGTTGATTAACTTAATCATTAAAAATTATTATTGCTATTGATCTGATTATAATTTCATGTTATCAATTAATTGATAATTAATCGTGATTGCAGTTTAATTGTGAAGCGGATTTCAGAAATTTATTATTGATTTTCTGTTGTAACAATTTAATTTAAAGTAAAGTTTGATTGAGCTAATGTGTTAATCAGTTTGGTAATTTGTTGTTGTTTTGTAACATAATTAAATCATTTATTAATCAAAATTATTGGCTCTTGTGATGTTTAAATTGCTTTTTTTGTTTGTTAATTAAATTGAATTAAGTGTTACAATCAATTGAATTATATTTACATCTTAAAATTGATCAAATTAATTGAAACAGAAAATCTTAATATGAGAGAAAGATGAGAAAATTGAAAGATTGTTAATTGTTGTGACAATTTAAGAAAATACTGATCATTTGATTATCGTAAAAATGTTGATTAGTTGATTATTTTGATCGTCGTTTACCAGAATATTTGTTTACGTAAGAGGCATAAGTCGAATCCCAATCGCGATAAAAGATATCGAGAACATCTTTACGAAGATTTCGGACTTTTTTCACTTCGGCGAAAGAAGCGACAAATGAAACTCCAGCGGTGTTGACGAAATAATCAGCTGACCAGTTCGAAGTTCCAATGTAAAGCAATTGGTCAGTTATCATGTATTTGTTGTGATTAACTCGAGCATAGGGAATCCGTTGTTGTTCATCGGTACCTGGAACGGTGAACAGTTTAACCGATAAAGCGCCTTTACCAGGATATCGACTGAGTTCATTAAGAGACTTGAGGAAAAGTACTGAAGTGTATTTTGTATGAGTCCAATTAGCGGCCAGAAATTTAACTTCAACACCTCTTTCGACTACTGCTTTACGAAGAGCGTCATCGATAACTGGCCAATATTCGGGTTTCGATCCATACAAAAAGGTTGGAGAATAGTCCATCACAGCGATGTAAACAAATCTTTTAGCGGTGTTAATGGCCTCAAGAACAGCTTCAATATCACCCGTTCGTCCTCTAGGACTGAATTGAGGTGGTGCACTGGCCATGAAAACCTTAGCTGTGTTACCTTCGAGTGTTAAATTAACGGGATTTTCGAGGTTAATTGATGTTGCCAAATTATTAGGCCATTGTTCAGGAATCGATGCATTTGATTGTCCAAGAGTCCAGTAAACATCAAAAACTTTAGCTAAATCACCTCCTAAGGTGGGACAATTTTGAATATAAACACCAAGCTCTTTAACGTGAGTCAACGAGCGCCAATCCATGTTAGCACTTCCCAAGTAAAAACTCATATTGTCAACGATAATAAACTTGGTATGTAAAATCCCAGCACCAATAAGCCGATCAAAGTCAAGGTTAGCAATTAGAGCACCAGCATTTTTGAGTAACTGTAAATCAGGATCAGCGGCAGTTTTATTATCATTCCCGTTAACAGCGATTCTCACAGTAACACCTCGATTAATTGCTTCTTTTAAAGCGTTAACAAAACTTTCACCGACTTGACAACTTTCTTTGATTGGATTTTCAACATCGCTACACATTAAAGTCCAATAATACGAACCAATATCGATTGATGATTTAGCGGAAGAGACAAGTTCAAGCCATGAAGATATCGTCGAGTTAAAAATTGGACCTTTGTAACTTGGGAAAACCAAACCAACGGGAATAGTTTCAACGATTTGACTTCGACAGCCCGTTATTTCCGTTGTACCATTGGTGACAACCGTTGGTTCACTCGCAATAATTGACGACAATGAACATAACAAAAGAGCAAAAGAAAACAAACCGAAAGATAAGTTTTCCATTTTATTTGGATAACTGGAAACGAGAAAATTGGAAACAATGTAACTAAATTAACGAAAGAAATTCGTATCACCAACTAACTCGAACAATTAAAACTTTAATCACTTTTATAATGAAGACAATTAACGCCACCCTTTTGATTGTCTTTTAGTTGATGAATGAAGAGATGACCTTCTGAACAGAAAAAAAGAAACAGAGACGATAAAATGAGAGAGAAAAACTAATAACTTTTTATCGGTTTTATTCCTTCAGCTTCTTATCGGCTAATTGATTAGATTAATTGTCGATTTCGATTCTTTCCCAATCAAAGTAATCAACACAAATATGATGCTCTTTGTTATTGATACTTTAATCATCAATCTATCCCAAGTGATGGTAAATTTGGCGATTAATCTAATTGTTAACTAACTAGACTTTGACTTTGATTGTTGTTGATCATCAGAAAAATTTACTAATCATGTTTTTGGAACCAAATATTTCAATATATTACAAACACACCTCCTAATTTAAATGATTATGATTAAAACTATTGTAACAAATTGTAATCAGCTAATCAAATCTATTACTTTAAATTGTCTCAATCAACAAGCTACTTTGATTATCTTTGTACTGACCAAAGGTTATATTGTTAGTGGACATTGATTAGGATTAATTAAATTAATTAGTGGATTCGTTTTCTGTTTTGTTTTTATTTTAATATAAAAAATCAATGGAAATCAATGAGATACAAATCAAAAGGTAAATATTAAATTGATAAACTACTTGTTGTGTTCCCATGTTGGTTGAGTGACACAATTTATTATGACAATTAGTGAATCAAAGTGAATTAAAAGCGTCTATTATATATGTCGATGAACAATTTAATTCCAATAATATCTTGATGATAATTATAACTCATAAATCAGCACGAGGTTAATTACGAGATGACGTTAATTGTATTATTGATTTCCGGTGTTTCAATCAATCAAGGTTGAATTAAGAAACAATTAAGACATAATTAGCTACTTGACAATAGTTAAGTTATTGATTTAATAACCATGATCATGATTGGGAACACATTAAGAGATAAAATTAGTAATAACAATCAGTAAATTATTAACTAATCCAGTTGATTTTGTTTTTCTCTTTCCGTTCAATTGTAAACTGAATTCAATTTTTTTTCCTTCTCAATTTGATTGACCATTTATTGTGATTTATTAAAATTGGTGATAAACATTAACATTAATCCAGCATTTTCAAGGAGATACTGAAATTAGAATAATTAATTAACATTAATTACTAATCACATTTGAACTTATCATCTAATCTGAAAAGTTTTAATCTCTTTCTATGAGTATGATGATCTCTAGAGGTAAACATCTTATTTAAATCAATTAAATTCAGTTATCAATAAGTAACACTGATTGTGTTCAATTGGAAGATCAATAATCTTGAAGAAATTAACTAATTATCAAGATATAATTACCAATAGAAATGTATGTGAATCCATGGTGAAGATTCCGCCGAGGGTGAATGAAATGAAGAAAAAAAGTTTTCTTTTATTAAATAAACCGAAAGCTAATCATTAATATTTCATTATTTACATTTAATTAAGACATGCGATGATCATTCAACGATAAATCATACAATTAGAAAGTTAATTGTTTCTGTCAATAGTTTTTCAACTTTTGATAATTATAACTTTAATTTACACTTCTCATACCATTGAGATAGTTAATTAATTAGCCAACATGATGACTTTGAATTTTCATCTTTACTTGATTTGCTTAATCATTAGCAATTACTATTGAATTGACTGCCATTTTAAATCATCATTTGACTTACAGTTATGATTACAGGCTAATTGTATTTAGTTAATTGTGGAAGGATTTTTTTTTTGAAAAGTTGCGCTTAAATTGCTAACATGTGATTTTGTTTTGCTTTTTATTTCTTGTAACAATTTAATTGTGTCAAGTTTAATTGTGCTAATCAGTTTGGTAGTTGTTGTCTCGTTGTTTTATATTGATTTTGTTTCAAGTTTATTTGCTTATCACTTTTTTTTATGATTTGGTTATGATTTTTGGCTGACAATGAACTTGAAACAATTAGAATCAATTTTGGATGATTTTGATGATTTCGATGAACCAAATATACTCTTTGAACAATATGTGACACCAGGTTATGTCGCTGCTCGAATGCTTCATACGATTTCCCTTGATGATCACATTAAAGGTAAAACAATCGTCGATTTGGGAACTGGACCTGGAATTCTTGCCATTGGATCAGCGCTTTTGGGAGCCGATTATGTGGTCGGTGTTGATTTGGATGAGAATGTTTTCCAAATTGCTAAATCAAATCTAGAAGAATTAGATGAACTTTTTCCTGGTAAACCTCCGATTGATTTTGTCCATGATGATGTTACAAAATGTTCACTCGAGAAAAAAAGTTTCGATGTTGCCATTTTTAATCCTCCATTTGGTACCAAAGGTAATTCTGGAATTGATATTGAATTCTTGAAAGTTGCTCTCAATTTAACAAGAGAATCAGTTTATTCATTACACAAATCAGCCACAAGATCTGTAAGTTACTTCTGATAAATGATGAGAATAATAGAATAATAGAAAAAAAAGTTGTGATCAATAATTTAATCTCAATTTAATCTCAGTTATTGGCTACATGTGAACGAATGAATGTCAATCAGATTGGTTTCACCCTCGGCGGAATCTTCACCATGGATTCACATACATTTCTATTGGTAATTATATCTTGATAATTAGTTAATTTCTTCAAGATTATTGATCTTCCAATTGAACACAATCAGTGTTACTTATTGATAACTGAATTTAATTGATTTAAATAAGATGTTTACCTCTAGAGTTCATCATACTCATAGAAAGAGATTAAAACTTTTCAGATTAGATGATAAGTTCAAATGTGATTAGTAATTAATGTTAATTAATTATTCTAATTTCAGTATCTCCTTGAAAATGCTGGATTAATGTTAATGTTTATCACCAATTTTAATAAATCACAATAAATGGTCAATCAAATTGAGAAGGAAAAAAAATTGAATTCAGTTTACAATTGAACGGAAAGAGAAAAACAAAATCAACTGGATTAAATAATTTACTGATTGTTATTACTAATTTTATCTCTTAATGTGTTCCCAATCATGATCATGGTTATTAAATCAATAACTTAACTATTGTCAAGTAGCTAATTATGTCTTAATTGTTTCTTAATTCAACCTTGATTGATTGAAACACCGGAAATCTGAATATCTCATTGATTTCCATTGATTTTTTTATATTAAAATAAAACAAAACAGAAAACAAATCCACTAATTAATTTAATTAATCCTAATCAATGTCTACCAATATAACCTTTGGTCAGTACAAAGATAATCAAAGTAGCCTGTTGATTGAGACAATTCAAAGTATATTTGATTAGTTGATTATTATGATACAAGAGAGAAGATGAAAATTTAATTGTTTACAGTTTATGAAAATTTTTCTCTTAATTGTTTTTTAATATTTGATTAGCAAAAAAAAAACAAATATGAAAATAAGTTTTTCCAATGTTACGATTTTACATATTAGCTGATAATTTGTTCAATTAATTGTTGGCTTGACTAATTTAACTACATTCATTTAACAATATCAATGGATCATGAATGGTGAGTTAATCATTCAGTTTTTTTTCATTTTTAAATCTAATTAAGGTTTTAAAATTTGCAGAATCAATGAAATTATGTTGGACTTTAAGTTGATGTGAATGATTAACATGCTATGTTTTCAGAGATTGAATCATTTGGATTATTTAAATTATGATTAATTGTGTGATATTTTTTTTACTCCTTTGGAGATTGTAATTGATTGTCGGAGATCAATATTGTAATTTACCAGGCCTAATTATCGTTCAAATTAAGCAGCTCATTTGTAACGTTTCAGATCTGAGAGCAGGTCAGATTTTAAGCAATTCGATGGTCATGGAAAATTAAATCGATCAAGTTAATTGTTTGAACTTTAATTTATCTGGAAAAAGTTGGAGAAACAAAAAGTTAATTAGTTGATTGTATAATCAAGAGAAATCAAGATGATTAACACAGAGAGCCAAGAATAGGTAAATTATTACCTTTCCAATTGATTAGTTGAACTCATTATTTCGATTGCATTGTAATTGAATGATGATAATTAGTTGAGATCGGATAGATGTTAATAAATTCTGCTAATTTAGTGATCATTATGTTGACAGACTTTAATTGTTTCCTTGAGGTAATTTTCCATATTTGATCAATTTCTCGTTGACGATTGTTGATTTATCATTGAAAGAAAAATATATAATTTAACTTTCCAATACAAGGAAGTAATATTTACGTTCTGTGTAAAGTAAACACCGATTAATCGAAGAAGATTCAACAAATTGTTCTAACGATCGTTACAAGGAAAAAAGTAGAAGATATTGATTCATGAGAAGGAAATTAAGAGCAGAGAAGAATAAAAGACAGAAATGGAAAAGAAGAAGAAAAAAATGTCAACCAGGTAAATGATTGACGAATGAATTGACTGATCCATGAGGACGTGAATTTGTGTTGTATGTTCTTGGTTGAGGTAACTCGGTTTTCCTGATGATTAGAATCAATTGGGAATAGAAAAGGTAAGAAATGAGAGAAGAAGAAAAGAAAAGAAAAACTGGATAGAATTTTCAATTTTCCTCAATGGCACATGATGGATGAATTTTGGACGAAAAAAGTATAGAAAAAATCGCAACAAAGTTTAAATTGTTGTTAAAAAAACTTTGCGAACAAATTTTCAAACTTTAAACGAATTGGGTGACGTTGTACATATACTAATATATACTAATGCTAATTACTCAATACTAATCCAGTTAATAGAGTGTAAGCAAAAATGAATAGAAGACGATAATTTTTCAGCCCAGAACCATAGAGGCCAACGAGGGAAACAAAGATAATGTATATCGATGCTAATGAAATTTGACCTCCTGTTGTACCGATTCGGTGAAAAGGTTGTGGGTTAAGGATTCCAGCGATGACCAATGTTGTTATACCGATAATCAGAGTAACTATGTTTGTACATAAAAGGATTCGTCTCATGATGATGACTATTCATTTGACTCAAGATTGCAATGTTTGCTAATCTGGATGATTTACTTTTGCTTAATCCCGATCGACGAGAAGATGATGATGTGGATGGTGTCCTTTTGGCGGGTAAAATGTTTTTAGCTTTGGTCACAATTATGGGAAATTGTCCTCGGGACGTTGGGCTCCGTCCATGGTAAAGGTAAGACATGATCACTCTTTGTTTCTCCTTTAAATGTATCAACAAGTTAATCAATAAAAAAAACACACAGAGAGATCGATACACGAAAATCACTTTTCAATGGTCACTTATTGGTCAACATAAACACAGAAATTGAGTCCATAGGAAAATACTGTAAATTAACATGTGTTGACGTTCACTTGTTTGTTGTTGTACAATTTGTAGATTGTATTTGTAGAGTGTGTGAAATCAAAAGGAAAGCAACATTTTCACAAGAACCATTTCCCAATGACCTTAAACAGGAATTTACTCACAACAAGAAGCAAGAGAAGAAGATGAAGATGAAGATGATGATGATGAAGTATAAGAAAATATACTAAGTATATTATTTCATGTATAACTTTTATCACTTCCACATCCATGTATTCATTCCGTGTATACATGAATTGAGACTAATCCATAGAAAATGTGGTTAAATCGCAGTTAATTCTCAATAGATGGCAGTAAATTTTTTCTATTCTAACGCCACCTACCGTGAATTAACTGCGATTTGACCAACAGTTGTTGAGAGTTAATTTTTTAATTGTTTAAACTAATTTGCCAATAGATTGGTAACTGTAGAGGTCCAAGGATGTCTAATTGCTGTTGCCAAATCTACTGAATTAAAAGTTCTATTCATTAAGGCAAAGTTAGTTGTGTCCGGTGAATTGCCTGAGGGATGTTGATTGGGGTATCTGAATGTGGCCACAAGCAGCAGCGGCTGCTGCAGCCACCCCACTGGCTGAAGAAGTGAACCCAGGATAGACTGGTGTGAAGAGCTGAAGCTTTAAAGGTTGAAAAAGCTTTGGACATATTGGGTAAGCGATTGTCGCAGAGGTGGCAGCGACCGCTGAAGCCGATGAACAGGGTGAGACTGTTGACCGATGATTTGAGCCAGAGGTTATAATTGACGATGGTGGAGTCGTCGGCGATGAGGCGGCAAGGGAGGGTGAATCCATGGAATGAGTTAAATTACCCGAACCAGGGTAAGTGTAACTCGAGTAAAGGGTGTTGTAAAACGAGACGGGACTCGACTCGGGGGCAAAAGAGACTATTGTGGATTATTGAATCGATTGGTTGGCCTGTTGATGGATGGTGATGATGATGAGTTAAACTGTTTTAATAAGGATGATGGTGATGGTGAAGAGGTAAAGTGTAATGATGATGGTGTGGGTGGTGAGGATGATGTGTTATTGACGGCGGGCCTCGTTTACAATTGACGTAACCATTGGTGTATGAAAGGTTAGCGGTTGAGGTTGTTAAAGGTGATGAGCTTGATACAGATGATGAAGATGATGACGAAGATGAAGAAGATGATGTAGAAGATGATGAAGATAAACCGTTATTTCAGCTCTCAGGAAGCGACCTATGCTACTCGAAGAGGGAACATTTGATTAATGACAAGTTCCCTCTTTGAGAAGAGCCTCTCTAATCTCCCAGTCAAATATTCCAGGATCTTTTTTCTTTAATCGTCTGATTGCAGCAACGACTTGACAACACAATTAACAAATTGTAACGAATTAAAAACAATTCAATAGTCAACGAGAAGAAAAAAACAAGAGAACCAATTCGACGATTACGAAAAAAGCAAATCTACCATTTCGTTACGTTGATAGTATGAGATGAAAAATTGTCGCAATTAGAGGTCAAACTATTTCCACTCTATGAGGTTAAAAGTAAGTGTAGTGAAATATTAGCGCTTGGTTTTTGCTACTTTTCTACAAACACTGAGGTCTCTTTGAGTCCTATTTTCGGCTTCCATGTCCCCAATTCCCAATTCCATGGCCCCAATTCACCTAGAGTAGATTACTGTTAATTGTGGTTTATTCATCTTGTTAGTAAACAAAATGAGTGATATAGTTTTCAGTATGGTGGAAATGTGAGAATTATGTTGTTGCTTAATTGCTACTAGAAAATTGTTACTACTTGTATTTGCTACTAGGATTAGTGATTTATTCACCTCTTTGTTGAAAACTCTGGGTCTGGAGCCACCGATGTTCCCTGGAGAATTATGTTGTTGATTAATTGTTACTACTTGTTGCTTTTCGAATATGATAATTGTTGTTGATTTTTCTATTCAAAGAAAATAAGTTCTTTCCAGGAAGAGAAAATAACAGATTGTGTTGGTCGAGTATATCGGGTGAGATCTGATGATCTGATCTGGTGAGCGGTTGATCCAGTTTCAGCAAACCGGGCTAAGATTTAAGAGACACAACCATGTGCCTTGAATCTTCCCGAGATACCACAAGGTCGAACTCAAAGATGAGATAATTCAACGATTTATTCCGAATTTCACTTCATTTCCAACCATTGACGAAAACCAAGTTGACCAATTCCCCCGTGAATTTGATTAACTCGAGCTGAAGAAAATAGATTACCCACCAATAGAATTAATTTAAGAAAAAGATGAAATCCATGATAAAGGTGATTGTTGACACATAAACATGAAAAGTTTGTTGAGTCTCGAGGCACTGATGATAATCCAAATCCGTTGATGATTGCAATTGATTGTCACAGAAAAACACACTAATCACTCGTGAGAAAAAAATTTCTCAAGTTACTTTAAATTGTTTGAATATCAACCGGCATTCAAATATAACGGGTTCAGATGATTGAGACTAAGATGAAGATGATTCCTGATGATTTGGTTATATGGTCCATAGATTTAGCACAATTAAACACAATCAACACCAACCAAGTTTATAAAACTACTGTGAATGTTGGCTTATTGCATAAAATTGCGGGTTTAACGACAACGTATTAACACTAGGTGGCGTGAGAATAGAAATATGGACTGTGGAGGATAGAAGAAACTAACGCCATCTATTGAGAGTTAACTGCGAGTTTGGAATATTTTTATGCAATAAGCGAACATTTACTGTAATTGTAACATCAATTAAGCCATAATAATTATACAATACCTCAATAAAGTATTGTTAAAACTGCTTCAACTTTCATACTTATGTTTGCTGCTGCTAAAAGGTAACGATCACAAGGATGTTTTATCACGAAAAGTGATCTATTGTTACCTGGCACTGAAGTAGAAGGTGGAAGATTCGAGGGCCCGGGGCTAGTAAGGGAGTAAAGTGTAGTAGCTGGTGTGGAATAGACAGTATTAGATGATAAAGGAGGTTCAGAGGAGCGAAAGAAACAAAGAAGAAGAATGTGACAAGTTAATCGAGCACCAGCTTCGGCATCTTGACAGCCTCCCCCAGTCGGACTAGCGGCAAGAAGTGAGGAGAAAAACATCGACGTGCTATGAGAATACAGGTGAAAACTGCAATGTTATCGTGAAGAGAGATATCAGAAACGCAAACTTGAGTAAGAACTTCAGCAAATCCACTATTCTGTTTGTAAGAACAGCAAAGAGCTTTCAACACTCCGAGCCATTCACTTCCTAGGGCAGGACACCGAGAAGATAGTTCAGCACAAAAGATGGAAAGGTCATTCAAACGGTTCGCATCTTTAGCGGTTGAAACAGCGTGAACAGCGTTACAGACAAAACTGTACCTGAAATGTGCGTTTTCGTTGAGCTGATTAAGATGAGTTATATCAATTTTCATCTTAGGATTGTTGATATATTCGCTCATGCATGTTGTGTTCCAGGAAAGTTTTACGGATGAAGGTTCTCGCGTTGAATGGATATTCTGTTTTACTTTTTGTCCAATTGAGTTAAATAAATCAAAGTATTTCGACTTCAAATGACTACAGTTGGTGTAAAGATCATAAAGATAACATAATATACATCTTTCAGCGGATGAGCAATCAGCAGGATTAGAAACACTTCTAACAAGTTTATAAAGTCCTTCGAACACTGTTACAGTCTCTTCTTGAGAGACTAGTAAACATGACTGGTACCTGTAGAGTACACCGGTGATATAAAGACTAATTAGAAGAAATAATTTTGAATACTGGAAAATAGTAAAAGAGAAAAAGGTTGAAATAATTACCAGTTTGATCATTCATATTATTTTGTTGTCCTTCTTTAATATGTTGTAATAATTTATCTAATTCAGAATCTAATTGTGCATCGTCCATTTCCAATTGTTGTATATCTCAATTACCCATTTGATCAGATCTGGACATGAGTACGTTTTTTATTGGCGGTTTCTAGAAGAGAGAAAAGCAGAAACAAATCAATCACAACATCAGTATATTCTCAGATAAATTGATTGGTTAATTTTACTTACCAGATTATGCTATTGAGTATGCTGAAGACATTTTTAAACCAATTAGCTTTGAACATGGGAACTGGAATTATTATAATTGAAGAAAAATTTCTTCTTTCTTATTAAATATGGGCACATTTCGCGAGAGCTGAGCTAAATAAATAGATAACAATAAAAAAAGCGCTTTAGTAAAGGAAGAAGAGAGAAAAGATTGACATTTGAATGATTCTATCACATACCTCTTTTTGTTTAGGTTCTTGAGGATAAACATCAGATGGACCTAATTTTGGCTTTTTCAATGATCTCTTCTCATAAAGCCAAGAACTCACTTTACCAGCCATGATTGTATCTTAATAATTAACACAATTGATAAGTTAATCCGTTACTTGAATCAAAACAAGTTGACCCTAGTCATCAATTAATTAACATATAGAAAGTCAGGAAATAAGTAAATCTCTAGAAGAAGAAGAAAAAGAAAAAAGAAAAGAAAAAATTGAAAACGAAAGAAAAACAAATAATTATTAAGGTAAAAAAACGATTGAAGCAATGATTTAAAGAAAAATAATTAATTAATTAATTGTAAATGAAAGGAAAAAGAGAGAGAAAAAAAGATAATTAAAATTAAAAAGAATTGAGTTGAGTTGATAAATAAGAGAAAAAGAGGGAAAAAAGACAGAGAAATGGAAGAACACAAAGAAGAAAAAGAGAGAAAAGAAAGAGAAACAAATTGAGTTAAAAAGCTCTTACCTTGTTTAATCCTATTTTTCTAGAAAACTTTTCTTTAAACGCATCTTGATCAGTTAAAGTAGATAATTAACAACCGATTAAATTACAATAGGTTCAGCTTCGTGTAGTTGGTAATTTTCTTAACGGGATTTAATTAAACTAAAATAATAAATAAATTAAAAATTGATTGAAACATTGATGACATTTAAAATGTCACATTTTGATGATAATTCAGCTCGGGAATAAGATTGAAGATTCTGCTGGTGGGTGGAGCCATCGCCGGCCATATTGATCGGCTCGCGGAGAAACGCGGGCTTTTCAAACTGTGCGATTTCTTAATCAAAACTGGAATTTAATTAAGTCGATTAGTAAAATTGAAAGAGAATTTTATTTAATTGAATTTAAACATTTGTGCTCAGATGTGGACGAATAGTTAGTGATTAGTGAGAGCTGTTGATTGGGCAGGTTTTTGATTAATTTACAAGTTTTCTGATTGGTATTTATGTTTGTTTATGTTTGTTTTTGTTGGAAATTTGATTCAATTATGTTTGGATGTTGATTAGTTGATTAGTTGATCACTTTTTGTGGGTAAATCGGAAAAGATCAACATCGATTGTTTTGTTGGCTTTTGTATGTCGAGCATAAGTTGCAGGTAAATCGTATGAAAATCGTCCTAAAACTTCAGATTTTACACCAAATTGTTCACCTTTTTTCAGAATAAACTGTAAATAAGATTGAGAAGTTTTTTATTGATTATTTTTTTTTCTTCTATTCTCATCATTTATCAGAAGTAACTTACAGATCTTGTGGCTGATTTGTGTAATGAATAAACTGATTCTCTTGTTAAATTGAGAGCAACTTTCAAGAATTCAATATCAATTCCAGAATTACCTTTGGTACCAAATGGAGGATTAAAAATGGCAACATCGAAACTTTTTTTCTCGAGTGAACATTTTGTAACATCATCATGGACAAAATCAATCGGAGGTTTACCAGGAAAAAGTTCATCTAATTCTTCTAGATTTGATTTAGCAATTTGGAAAACATTCTCATCCAAATCAACACCGACCACATAATCGGCTCCCAAAAGCGCTGATCCAATGGCAAGAATTCCAGGTCCAGTTCCCAAATCGACGATTGTTTTACCTTTAATGTGATCATCAAGGGAAATCGTATGAAGCATTCGAGCAGCGACATAACCTGGTGTCACATATTGTTCAAAGAGTATATTTGGTTCATCGAAATCATCAAAATCATCCAAAATTGATTCTAATTGTTTCAAGTTCATTGTCAGCCAAAAATCATAACCAAATCATAAAAAAAAGTGATAAGCAAATAAACTTGAAACAAAATCAATATAAAACAACGAGACAACAACTACCAAACTGATTAGCACAATTAAACTTGACACAATTAAATTGTTACAAGAAATAAAAAGCAAAACAAAATCACATGTTAGCAATTTAAGCGCAACTTTTCAAAAAAAAAATCCTTCCACAATTAACTAAATACAATTAGCCTGTAATCATAACTGTAAGTCAAATGATGATTTAAAATGGCAGTCAATTCAATAGTAATTGCTAATGATTAAGCAAATCAAGTAAAGATGAAAATTCAAAGTCATCATGTTGGCTAATTAATTAACTATCTCAATGGTATGAGAAGTGTAAATTAAAGTTATAATTATCACAAAAGTTGAAAAAACTATTGACAGAAACAATTAACTTTCTAATTGTATGATTTATCGTTGAATGATATCATCGCATGTCTTAATTAAATGTAAATAATGAAATATTAATGATTAGCTTTCGGTTTATTTAATAAAAGAAAACTTTTTTTCTTCATTTTTTGGTTCATCAAATGTACAGTTAGAATTTACTATTTTTATCGTATAGACTGAGAATCGAAAAGTTCATTAGAAGTTTCTTTTTTCTCAATGGAATCAAATGAAGAATAATTAGTAATTGATATTGACTTCATTTCTTTAATTTCAGTAATCATTTAGACACTTGAACTGTTCATTTTCACTCGACGAATTGTTCAATAAGATTATTGTGTTAGGTATGTCTCCATATAAATATCGTGAATTTAATGTCCATGGAAAAGTTAGTGATTCTTATTGGACAAATTGGTTGGAACGGAAAACGACAAGAGAAGCGGCAACTGACCTTTTGAGTGTCGTTGAAAGATCAGGTATCCGTTGGTTATGTATAATAAGTGGGTACGAACAGGTTAACCCGATATCTAAGGGTCGATTGGTTCTTGGACATTTCATCAATCTAATTGGAGCGATAACCATAATCAGAGGGTTTTTCGTGGTCGCATTACCTTACGATTATGTTCAAATCGCTTTGGGTGATCTGTTCATTGGTTCACCAGTTCATGAGATTCAGAATATGTTGATAACCATGTTACTAACACTTTCCTGTGGTCTCAAGTATTGTGGGTTTTCAGCTGAAAGACGAGGACCTATTCAAGTACTCAAATTGTACCATCGCTTGAGGTCAACAAAATTTGACCATAAACAGTTTATGTTAACACCGGACGATTGTTCAAGTATTAGAAAATCGTTTTTCTTTCTTTCTTATTTCTATCTCTTTGTAACTCCGTTAACCTGCCTGGCGATCGCGGCCTGGTTGACCTTTGCTTTCCTCATCAATCCAATAAACTACGAGAGTTTATATAACATCCTTGTCATCGGCATTTGGACAATCGTCATCTCGAGTATATTTACTCTCGGTTCTTACCCGACAATTTGGCTTTACATTCAAAACACGATGATTATGTCTTATGTTTCATTCGCTCTCAATTCTAATCATCTTCATGGTCAATTATTGGTCAAATCAGAATCGAAAGCCGATCAACAAGAACTTTTCAACTATTTTTCTCAACAAAATAAAATCTATAATTTCATCAATAGATCAACTGTCGATTTAGGTCAAATGTTATCCTACGGAATAATAGTTGTATCTGGTGTCGCCGATTTCACCATGTTTGTCAGTGTCTTCATCGGCACGGGCAGTGATCTTTTCAATTATATCATCTTTTCCGTGGGAATCATGGCCTTCACTGCGATCGTAGTGATCAATATACTTTCCGCCTTTACCGTTGTAAAGGTAAGTCCATTCATAACAATAATCAATCAATTAACTGGGTATTAATAATTTCATTTTTCAGGTTTCGTTGTGTCATTTGGTTAATTATCAGATTGCAAGGCGATGCAAGTTAAATTTATCCACTCAATTAAAAGTAAATTGTTATTAAGAATCAAATCAATTGTGATCAATAATTTAATCTCAATTTAATCTCAGTTATTGGCTACATGTGAACGAATGAATGTCAATCAGATTGGTTTCACCCTCGGCGGAATCTTCACCATGGATTCACATACATTTCTATTGGTAATTATATCTTGATAATTAGTTAATTTCTTCAAGATTATTGATCTTCCAATTGAACACAATCAGTGTTACTTATTGATAACTGAATTTAATTGATTTAAATAAGATGTTTACCTCTAGAGTTCATCATACTCATAGAAAGAGATTAAAACTTTTCAGATTAGATGATAAGTTCAAATGTGATTAGTAATTAATGTTAATTAATTATTCTAATTTCAGTATCTCCTTGAAAATGCTGGATTAATGTTAATGTTTATCACCAATTTTAATAAATCACAATAAATGGTCAATCAAATTGAGAAGGAAAAAAAATTGAATTCAGTTTACAATTGAACGGAAAGAGAAAAACAAAATCAACTGGATTAGTTAATAATTTACTGATTGTTATTACTAATTTTATCTCTTAATGTGTTCCCAATCATGATCATGGTTATTAAATCAATAACTTAACTATTGTCAAGTAGCTAATTATGTCTTAATTGTTTCTTAATTCAACCTTGATTGATTGAAACACCGGAAATCTCGAAGAATATCTCATTGATTTCCATTGATTTTTTTTATATTAAAATAAAAACAAAACAGAAAACAAATCCACTAATTAATTTAATTAATCCTAATCAATGTCCACTACCAATATAACCTTTGGTCAGTACAAAGATAATCAAAGTAGCCTGTTGATTGAGACAATTCAAAGTATATTTGATTAGTTGATTATTATGATACAAGAGGAGAAGATGAAAATTTAATTGTTTACAGTTTATGAAAATTTTTCTCTTAATTGTTTTTTAATATTTGATTAGCAAAAAAAAAACAAATATGAAAATAAGTTTTTCCAATGTTACGATTTTACATATTAGCTGATAATTTGTTCAATTAATTGTTGGCTTGACTAATTTAACTACATTCATTTAACAATATCAATGGATCATGAATGTAGTGAGTTAATCATTCAGTTTTTTTTCATTTTTAAATCTAATTAAGGTTTTAAAATTTGCAGAATCAATGAAATTATGTTGGACTTTAAGTTGATGTGAATGATTAACATGCTATGTTTTCAGAGATTGAATCATTTGGATTATTTAAATTATGATTAATTGTGTGATATTTTTTTTACTCCTTTGGAGATTGTAATTGATTGTCGGAGATCAATATTGTAATTTACCAGGCCTAATTATCGTTCAAATTAAGCAGCTCATTTGTAACGTTTCAGATCTGAGAGCAGGTCAGATTTTAAGCAATTCGATGGTCATGGAAAAATTAAATCGATCAAGTTAATTGTTTGAACTTTAATTTATCTGGAAAAAAAGTTGGAGAAACAAAAAAGTTAATTAGTTGATTGTATAATCAAGAGAAATCAAGATGATTAACTTACAGAGAGCCAAGAATAGGTAAATTATTACCTTTCCAATTGATTAGTTGAACTCATTATTTCGATTGCATTGTAATTGAATGATGATAATTAGTTGAGATCGGATAGATGTTAATAAATTCTGCTAATTTAGTGATCATTATGTTGACAGACTTTAATTGTTTCCTTGAGGTAATTTTCCATATTTGATCAATTTCTCGTTGACGATTGTTGATTTATCATTGAAAGAAAAATATATAATTTAACTTTCCAATACAAGGAAGTAATATTTACGTTCTGTGTAAAGTAAACACCGATTAATCGAAGAAGATTCAACAAATTGTTCTAACGATCGTTACAAGGAAAAAAGTAGAAGATATTGATTCATGAGAAGGGAAATTAAGAGCAGAGAGAATAACAAATGACAGAAATGGAAAAGAAGAAGAGAAAAAAAATGTCAACCAGGTAAATGATTGACGAATGAATTGACTGATCCATGAGGACGTGAATTTGTGTTGTATGTTCTTGGTTGAGGTAACTCGGTTTTCCTGATGATTAGAATCGAATTGGGAATAGAAAAGGTAAGAAATGAAGAGAAGAAGAAAAAGAAAAAGAAAAAACTGGATAGAATTTTCAATTTTTCCTCAATGGCACATGATGGATGAATTTTGGACGAAAAAAAGTATAGAAAAAAAAATCGCAACAAAGTTTAAATTGTTGTTAAAAAAACTTTGCGAACAAATTTTCAAACTTTAAACGAATTGGGTGACGTTGTACATATACTAATATATACTAATGCTAATTACTCAATACTAATCCAGTTAATAGAGTGTAAGCAAAAATGAATAGAAGACGATAATTTTTCAGCCCAGAACCATAGAGGCCAACGAGGGAAACAAAGATAATGTATATCGATGCTAATGAAATTTGACCTCCTGTTGTACCGATTCGGTGAAAAGGTTGTGGGTTAAGGATTCCAGCGATGACCAATGTTGTTATACCGATAATCAGAGTAACTATGTTTGTACATAAAAGGATTCGTCTCATGATGATGACTATTCATTTGACTCAAGATTGCAATGTTTGCTAATCTGGATGATTTACTTTTGCTTAATCCCGATCGACGAGAAGATGATGATGTGGATGGTGTCCTTTTGGCGGGTAAAATGTTTTTAGCTTTGGTCACAATTATGGGAAATTGTCCTCGGGACGTTGGGCTCCGTCCATGGTAAAGGTAAGACATGATCACTCTTTGTTTCTCCTTTAAATGTATCAACAAGTTAATCAATAAAAAAAACACACAGAGAGATCGATACACGAAAATCACTTTTCAATGGTCACTTATTGGTCAACATAAACACAGAAATTGAGTCCATAGGAAAATACTGTAAATTAACATGTGTTGACGTTCACTTGTTTGTTGTTGTACAATTTGTAGATTGTATTTGTAGAGTGTGTGAAATCAAAAGGAAAGCAACATTTTCACAAGAACCATTTCCCAATGACCTTAAACAGGAATTTACTCACAACAAGAAGCAAGAGAAGAAGATGAAGATGAAGATGAAGATGAAGATGAAGATGAAGATGATGATGAAGTATAAGAAAATATACAGCCTCGAAAATTAAGATCGACTACACTTTTAAATGGAGATACGCATAGAAGTGTTATCTTATTATTTTCAATGTAAATTCATTACTAAATTGTGTAGTCCATTTAAAAGTGTAGTCGATCTTAATTTTCGAGGCTGTATAAGAAGTATAAGAAAATAGCAGCCACTGGCTGAAGAAGTGAACCCAGGATAGACTGGTGTAAAGTGCTGAAGCTTTAAGGGTTGAAAAAGCTTTGGACATATTGTGATAAGCGATTGTCGTAGAGGTGGCAGCGACCGCTGAAGCCGATGAACAAGGTGAGACAGTTGAAGGTGAACAGGGTGAGACTGTTTGAAGAGGTTGAAGATGTGGATGAATTTGGATGATGATTCGAACCAGAGGTCGTAATTGACGATGGTGGAGTCATTGGCGATGAGGTGGACAGGGAGGGTGAATCCATGGAATGAGCTAAATTACACGAACCAGGGTAAGTGTAACTCGAGTAAAGGGTGTTGTAAAACGAGACGGGACTCGACTCGGGGGCGAAAGAGACTCGGGACTATTGTGGATTATTGAATTGGTTGGTGGGCCTGTTGATGGATGGCGATGATGATGATGAGTTAAACTGTTTGAATAAGGATGATGGGGGTGATGTTGAAGAGGTAAAGTGTGATGATGGTGTGGGTGGTTTGGGTTATGATTAGGATGATTATGTGCTATTGGTGGTGGGCCTCGTTTACAATTGACTTAACCATTGGTGTATGAAAGGTTAGTGGTAGTGGTTGAGGTTGATAAAGGTGATGAACATGATACAGATGATGAAGAAGATGAAGATCAACTGTTTTTTAGCTCTCAGGAAGCGACTTATGCTACTCAGAGAGGGAACATTTGATTAATGACAAGTTCCCTCTTCGAGAAGAGCCTCTCTAATCTCCCAGGCAAATATTCCAGGATCATTTTTCTTTAATCGTCTGATTGCAGCAACGACCTAACAACACAATTAACAAATTGTAACGAATTCAAAAAGATTCAATAGTCAACGAGAAGAAGAAAAAACAAGAAAACAAATTCGACGATTACGAAAAAGTTAAGTCTACTATTTCGTTACGTTGATAGTATGAGATGAAAATTTGTCGCAATTAGAGGTCAAACTATTTCCACTCTGAAACTCTGAGGTTAAAGGTCAGTGTAGTGAAGTGTTAGCGCTTTGTTTTTGCTGCTTTTCTACAAACACTTAGGTCTTTTTGAGTCCTATTTTCGGCTTACATGTACACCAACATATGAACCAAAGATAAAGTTAAACCACAAAACCTCATAAAGAATAAAAATGGAATTTTCTTCAGTTATTGAAGCCGGTTGATTTGATGGTGAGTGGCAAAGAAAGGCAAAATTCAGCTTGGCTCGAGACGGCTTGAGCGGTTAGCCAGAAAAAATAGTTCGCTCGGCTCAAGGCAGCTCAAATTCTTTGGCGCTAACTTTTGAAAAAGGAAAAAAATTATGAAATTCCAGAGGGATGATTTTTGTGATGAGGAAGAGAAAGGAAAAAAGAAAAAGAGAAAAAAGTGAGAAAAAAGTAAGAAAGCTAATTAGCCAAGCGGAAGTTAATCAACTGATGTCGATTTGAGCCAATAATCAAACATTTCGAGCTAAACACCAGTATGAGTGACTTAGCGATCGGCTAGCCTCGGTATCTCTATATTTCTTAGTAAATCTCTAGAAAAAAACTGGATGAGGCATAAGATATGTCCGTCAGCTCGATATTTTCACTTTGAGCTGATTTTTCAATTGTTCAGTTAATTGTTTAAATTAGGTTAGGTCTTCGCTAATAACAGTCAATATGATCAAAGGAATGCCCGGAGGGCCTGAGACAATCAAACTGATCTTTAAGCTGAGAAAAAAATTAGCTGAAAAACTGTAAATAAGTTAAATAGAGAAAATTTCAGCTTTTTTATCGAGGATCAGTTGATTAGGTTGTTTAAAATTCACCTAGAGAGCAGATTACTGTTAATTGTGGTTTATTCATATTGGTAGTAAACATAATGAGTGATTTAGTTTTCAGTATGGCTTTTCGAATATGATAATTGTTGTTGATTTTTCTGTTCTAAGAAAATAGTTCTTCCCTGGAAGAGAAAATAACAGATTGTGTCTGTCGAGTGTACAGTGGTAAGAAAGTTCGTGTGAGGGGAAATGGGGGTTAGAAATGAGCAGATGAACATTTGTATTTATAAATCTGGTTTGACCCCCATCCCCTTTCACACGAACTTTCTTACCACCGTGTATATAGTAGATCTGCGAGTGATTCTCAGGTATTTTCATCGAATTTGGAAAAGATTATTTTATAGATTGTTGATCGTTTAGATTAGTCAAATTTTAGTAGAAATTATTGATTAATTTACCTCTTCGATGGAAACTCTGAATTTGGAACCACCGATGTTCCCTGGAGCGATTGATCCAGTTTCGGCAAACCTGGCTAAGATTTCGGAGACACAAACATGTGCCTTGAATCTTAGCGAGATACCACAAGGTCGAACTCAAAGAAGAGATAATTCAACGATTTATTCCGAATTTCACTTGGAAGAGGTCCACCATTGACGAAAGTTTGTTGAGGTTGTTTACCAGACCCGTGGTTTAGAATATTGAAATGTGAATCGTTTTTATCGAAAAATTCAAAACTTAATTTCTCTTTTTTCTCATCTCTTTCTCTCTTTGTCTCTTTCTTTCTCTGGCTTTCTTCGGCTGTCTTTTTAAAATGCGCGCTGTAAAAGAAGCTTCTCTGCGTATGCGTACATAAAAAACGTTGAGACTCAAAGTTTGAGTCAGAATTCCTCATGAACTGCAGCTCAGATTTTGTTCGTACAATTTTTCGTAACTGTAGTATTCTCCGCTCTATTTTTAGTACCTAAACATCTCATAGAATCTTTGCTATCTTGAGCATAATCTTTACTCAAAACTCGAGCTTATCTTATTCAAGTTTGTATAACAAAAATCAGAAAACTTGTAAATTAATCAAAAACCTGCCCAATCAATAGCTCACACTAACCACTAACTATTCCCCCACATCTGAGCACAAATGTTTAAATTCAATTAAATAAAATTCTCTTTCAATTTTACTAATCGACTTAATTAAATTCCAGTTTTGATTAAGAAATCGCACAGTTTGAAAAGCCCGCGTTTCTCCGCGAGCCGATCAATATGGCCGGCGATGGCTCCACCCACCAGCAGAATCTTCAATCTTATTCCCGAGCTGAAATATCATCAAAATGTCATCAATGTTTCAATCAATTTTTAATTTATTTATTATTTTAGTTTAATTAAAACCCGATAAGAAAATTACCAACTGTACGAAGCTAACCCTATTGTAATTTAATCGGTTGTTAATTATCTACTTTAATTGATCAAGATGCGTTTAAAGAAAAGTTTTCTAGAAAAATAGGATTAAACAAGGTAAGAGCTTTTTAACTCAATTTGTTTCTCTTTCTTTTCTCTCTTTTTCCTCTTTCTGTTCTTCCATTTCTCTGTCTTTTTTTCTTATTTATCAATTCAACTCAATTCTTTTTAATTTTAATTATCTTTTTTCTTTCTCTCTCTCCTTTCATTTACAATTAATTAATTATTTTTCTTTAAATCATTGGTTCAATCATTTTTTCTACCTGAGTGTTTATTTGTTTTTCTTTCGTTTTCAATTTTTTCTTTTCTTTTCTTTTTTCTTTTTCTTCTTCTAGAGATTTACTTATTTCCTGACTTTCTATATGTTAATTAATTGATGACTAGGGTCAACTTGTTTTGATTCAAGTAACGGATTAACTTATCAATTGTGTTAATTATTAAGATACAATCATGGCTGGTAAAGTGAGTTCTTGGCTTTATGAGAAGAGATCATTGAAAAAGCCAAAATTAGGTCCATCTGATGTTTATCCTCAAGAACCTAAACAAAAAGAGGTATGTGATAAAATAATTCAAATGTCAATCTTTTCTCTCTTCTTCCTTTACTAAAGCGCTTTTTTTTATTGTTATGTATTTATTCAGGATGAATTGACAGCTATAAATGTGAAACAAGGTTTTCTTACCTTTCCATCTATACAAGAAGAATATGGCTCGTCAAGGAATGCAAATATTACGCCCAATAAGTTTGGTGCTTTTTTCTCGGCTCTTTTATCAAAGAAACAAGAGCTCAACACGTTACAAGATACAGGAAGAAGGAAGCCACAAATTAATCCAAAGGATAACATTTGGTTGGTCACCCAACGATCAAAGACTATGGTTGATGCTTGGTTTCGTGACCTTGCCTCTGGAACTAAAACATTAGCTCAGCTCTCGCGAAAAGTGCCCATATTTAATAAGAAAGAAGAAATTTTTCTTCAATTATATGAATTCCAAGTTCCCATGTTCAAAGCAAATTGGTTTATAAAAATGTCTTCAGCATACTCAATAGCATTATCGGGTAAGTAAAATTAACCAATCAATTTATCTGAGAATATACTCATGTTGTGATTAATTTTTTTCTACTTTTCTCTTCTAGAAACCGCCAATAAAAGTAAAAAACGGCAGGTAATTGATCAATCTCAAGAATGGACTGGTATATTATGTAGATTTTTACGTGATTTATATCAAAAAATTTGTGAACACTATCATGGAAGTACATCAACAGCTACACCATCACCTTTTTCTAACAGTGTCTCTCCAAGCTCAGCGAATATAAATATTGATGTTGTACAAAAACAATGGCAGTACTGCTGTCAATTAGCCCGATCACTTTTTGAAGAGGGTCTTTTAGATAAACAAGAATTTCTTAATTGGATTTTAGATATTCTAGAGAAGATAAAAACAGCTGATGATCCTGTGGTGAGAGTTGTGGTTACTTTAATATTACAATATATTGAAGATTTCACTGAATCTGAGTTATGCTCTCGTAAGCTTGCTTATCAATGTGCCATCAAGCTTAACCAACTTGTATCAAGTTTTAGTGTCTCACCTTTAAACTCATCGAACACATCTAGCTCATCTATATCTTCACCTTCACCTAACGAAAGTTCATCTTCCATTGTAAACGGTCCTATTTCAAATAGATCAATGTCTCCCACTTCCTCATCCACAAATTCCAATACACCTGTTGAACCATTGATAACTAGTTTTCGTGATCTCTTGAGCTGTCCTCATCATCGTAACATGGCCATTGGATTATCAGCTATCATTCAAGTGATAACTTTAAAATGTCCAACTGCAATGGTCTGGCATGGGGATGGGCGTTTATCTCCAGCTCTTAATGGGTCACCTTTAGATCATCTTCCATGTCCTCCTTCCGTTTTACCTATGCCAGCTCGACCTCATAATCGTCAATTACGTGAAGAGTTGAGAGCTAAAGAAGAGGAAATAAGAATACGAAGTCGCTCTGTAGAAAACAAATGGTGTTCTGATAGATCTCAACAAACTGCTCCAGGCGTAATTATAAATAGACTTTTGAATACACTAAATTCATTGGATCGTCATTCATTTGAAAAAGTTGAATCAAATAATTCAATAGAAACTCTTTACGCTGCAATATTCAAGAATAATCAATCGTCTGCTCTAAAATCTGACCTTTCAGAAAAGTCTCTTAAGAAAATCATTTCAGAAGATGAATCAATTGTAAAATTGCTCTGTGAATGGGCGGTAACAACTAAACGAACTGGGGAACATCGAGCATTGGTAGTGACAAAATTATTAGAAAAACGACAAAATGAATTATTAGCTGAAAAAGAAAATGACAAACCTGATGACAAAGAAATTGACTCAACTTTAACAAACGGATGCAAAGGTGCAGATTTATCTTCACCAAATGTTGAAACTCCACAACAAATTTATCAAGATCTATTAATGTCTTTTCTTGATACTCACGCTCCAATTTGGGACGATAAAAATTCAAATCCAGAATCGAAATTAGCATTTTCTAACCTTGTTCTACTATTTGGTGAATTGATAAGATGTGATGTATTTTCTCACGATGCTTATATGTGTGCTCTTATTTCCAGAGGACAATTTGCTAATTCACCGAGCACTTCATCCGTGTTACCTCAAATCTCTGACATGAAAATTACGAACAAATCTGAGCAATCAAGTTTAACCAATTTTGTTCCAAATTTACCTTCGGCTAGTATATTGCCTTCTTTAAGTGGACCAACATCTAACATGACAGGTTCACTTGATGTTAATACTCCAAATAGATCATCTGAATCGTCTCTTCCCATGTTCGAACCAGTCACTGATCCATCCGCAAGTGCCAGATCTGATCAAATGGGTAATTGGGATGTACAACAATTGGAAATGGACGATGCACAATTAGATTCTGAATTAGATAAATTATTACAACATATTAAAGAAGGACAACAAAATAATATGAATGATCAAACTGGTAATTATTTCAACCTTTTTCTCTTTTACTATTTTCCAGTATTCAAAATTATTTCTTCTAAAAATTTGAATTCTTAATTTTCTTAACTTTCAACAATATTCATCAACTTCCCTGACTAACACTGATACTAATTGCATGTGATTATTATGGCCTGAAAATGCACCTTCATACTTATTTCACCTTTTTTTTCTGGTATTTTATTATTATTTTTCATCATTGTTTTTACCTTTGGAGTTTTAAGTATTATTATTGATTAACTTGATTCTATCCTTTAACAGATATTCTTTTACCAGACTCAGTGAGCTCAGAAAAAGAGAACGAAGCTGGAAATCTCCTTGCTAATATGGGCTTTGGTCAACAACAACCACAACAACAGCAACAACAACAAGAAACTGGACAACGGACTCATGTCCAGAGGCATCTTTTATATACAACTCACTTCCCTTTACCCCAAGATGAGTCTACTAATCATGATTGTAATCAGCGGCATGTACTTTTATATGGTGTCGGTAAAGCTCGTGACGATGCCAGGCACATAGTTAAAAAGACTACCAAAGAAATATTGAAATTATTCAGCCGAAAATCATCTATGGACATTAGCGAAGGAGCAAAAGTAAAGAAGAAAGAAAGTTTCAGCTTCGAAACGGCTTTAAACAAGTTTCAAAGTTTGGCTTATTTTGATCAACACGTTGTTACATCTTGTTGTGCTGCTGCTTGTATTGAAATGTTTGAAGGAGTTGCAAATGGTACTTCCGTTCATTTACCTTTGATTGAAGCTATCGCATTTTTATTTGATCTTATGGAAATGGCTCTCAACATTCACGGGCTTATCGATTTCTGTATACAACTTCTTAAAGAAATGCCTGATGTTGAATTGAAGCTCACTGAAAAATGTCCCATTCTTGTCGGTAATTATTGTGCACAAATTGGTCTTTATATCACCGGTGTACTCTACAGGTACCAGTCATGTTTACTAGTCTCTCAAGAAGAGACTGTAACAGTGTTCGAAGGACTTTATAAACTTGTTAGAAGTGTTTCTAATCCTGCTGATTGCTCATCCGCTGAAAGATGTATATTATGTTATCTTTATGATCTTTACACCAACTGTAGTCATTTAAAGTCGAAATACTTTGATTTATTTAACTCAATTGGACAAAAAGTAAAACAGAATATCCATTCAACGCGAGAACCTTCATCCGTAAAACTTTCCTGGAACACAACATGCATGAGCGAATATATCAACAATCCTAAGATGAAAATTGATATAACTCATCTTAATCAGCTCAATGAAAACGCACATTTCAGGTACAGTTTTGTCTGTAACGCTGTTCACGCTGTTTCAACCGCTAAAGATGCGAACCGTTTGAATGACCTTTCCATCTTGTGTGCTGAACTATCTTCTCGGTGTCCTGCCCTAGGGAGTGAATGGCTCGGAGTGTTGAAAGCTCTTTGCTGTTCTTACAAACAGAATAGTGGATTTGCTGAAGTTCTTACTCAAGTTTGCGTTTCTGATATCTCTCTTCACGATAACATTGCAGTTTTCACCTGTATTCTCATAGCACGTCGATGTTTTTCTCCTCAAGATTTTGTGATCCATTGCGCTCTCCCCTCACTTCTTGCCGCTAGTCCGACTGGGGGAGGCTGTCAAGATGCTGAAGCTGGTGCTCGATTAACTTGTCACATTCTTCTTTGTTTCTTTCGCTCCTCTGAACCTCCTTTATCATCTAATACTGTCTATTCAACACCAGCTACTACACTTTACTCCCTTACTAGCCCCGGGCCCTCGAATCTTCCACCTTCTACTTCAGTGCCAGGTAACAATAGATCACTTTTCGTGATAAAACATCCTTGTGATCGTTACCTTTTAGCAGCAGCAAACATAAGTATGAAAGTTGAAGCAGTTTTAACAATACTAAAAGCAATTCTTGTGTTAGGTAAGTAATTTAATTAATCACAATTAACCATAACTCTTCTCATTAATTATCAATGATTTTTTTTTCAAATTTAGGCGACTCAATTGATGCAAATAGAGAGAATAAAATCAAGATTGAAAACTCGAGCTCAAAAGAACTTAATCTAAATGAATTCTCCTCGCTTATGGGTGATGAAGAGTACAACGAATATGATTTTCTGTAAGTTAACCACAATTCTTAATTTTATGTTTTTTCCATAACTAATCACGTTTTTTTTTGCTTCTTCAATTTAGCAGTTTAACTGGTAATAAAACTAAAGAAAAAACAGAAAGTGTGGTTGAGGCTGCAGGTCTCAATGAATTTGCCAAACACGTTCTCCGACAGATTAGTAGTCAAGAATGGATATTAGAACGATGTCTTAGAGATCCTGATGTAATTACGAAGCAAGATGTATTCCTTGATCCCAGTTTAACTCCAGAACAAGCGTTGCAACTTTTACAAATGATTTGCAACCCTAAATCTACTACACCAGTTGACAAAGACTTCGAACCAAAACAGCAAATCACGAGAGTTTTCCAAAATCTTGACGAATGGACAATTAGACAATCTTGGCTTCAATTACAATTAATGTATGCACAATGCTGTACACCAAAACCGCCAACTGATGTTGGTAACTGGCTGGATATGGTGGCTAAAGCGACCATAGATTTTTTCCAACAATCGAGCGAAGAAAGTTCTAAAAGTAACCTTAATCATGAGAGTGGTAAAAGTGAAAAACAAGGCAATGAAGGACAATGGCAAAGTAAAAGTACAAGAGTGTGGCTGGTATCACCTTTAATATCTAAATTACCTTCATCAGTACAAGGAAAAATACTTAAAGTTGCTGCTAATGTTTTAGAATCTGGTAATTGGATGTCTGCTTCGAACTCACAAAACTCATATTCCTATTCTAAGAATAAAGATCGAGGCTTCTCTCAGCAAAAAAGTAATAGCTCTGGAAATGGTAATAATCCCTCTTCTTTGCTAAGTTATCCTCCTTTCTTAGCATTGGTGCTCATGTGCCTCCGTGGTAAAGATGAACAAAGAGAAAGTCTTCTCAATTCTTTATTCTCACAACTTCAACAAGCTGTTCACGATAGAGATGATCCAAAAGTCCGTGTTACAAACATCCAAGAGGGATTACAATTAAGGTTGAGCCTAGTTGGTGGAATGTTCGATATGATTCAAAAATCTACTTCTCTCATTAACGATTGGGCAGTTTTATTCGTACAATTGATCAGTAATGGAGTTGTTGAAACACAACAAAGTTATGAACTTTTCACCACCGTTTTAGACATGTTAGCTGTGTTGATACATACAACTCAATCTTCAGAGACTTCTGAATCCAGAGAGGAGACAAGAAAACAATATCAAAATCTTATCAAAAAACTTAAGAAAGAGTTTGCTTTCGATAAAGTTGGTCTTGGAGTTGATCTTTTGAAACAACTTTTACCTATTAGTAAACAACAATGTGAAGTTATTACATGTGAACCAATGGGCAGTTTAATCGATACCAAAGGTAATAAAATTGCTGGATTCGATTCTATCGACAAGAAGCAAGGTTTACAAGTAGCTGAAAAGCAGAAAGTGTCACCTTGGGATCTACTAGAAGGTCATAAGAATCCTGGTCCTCTTAGTTGGTCTTGGTTTGGAGCTGTTAGAATTGAAAGAAAACCATTAAGAGGTGAAGAGAATCACAATGTTCTTGCTTGGCATACTCACTCTTTCAAGCAACCGACATCTTATTACCTTGAACATCCTCCGTTACCTCCTGAAGATGCTCCCGAACCCTCACCTGTTCCTCCGCCTTCCATACTTAACGATATCAAACCACCAGTTGTGCCTCCACCAATCATTCCACCTCAACCTACTCTAATACCGATGTCTATTCCTGACGATCCAATAAAACGAGAAAGAGACACTCCGGTCGAGGTTTCTAGTCCACGTGCAACTGCAGCGAAGAAACCAAAGACCACTAGAAAGAAAAGAACCCCCAAGAATGCTGTCGCTGCCGCTACTGGTCCAGTTGTGGTGGGAAACTCTATGACTCCTCCATTAGTACCTGTAAATGTACAAACTCCTCCAATGAGAATGACCGGTGGTTATGAAAATTACGTTCAACCTGGTCCACCTCAACATCAACCGCAACCACCACAACAATGGTATAGTCATAGTCAACAACAACCTGGTCCACAACATCCACAGCCTCCACCTGGACCACCTCATCAACAAAATCAATCGTTCTTCCATCCAGGTCCAATGGGACCAACATCTAATCGTTATGAGAGACCAATGAGTAAACCAAAGGCAATATTAAACAGTCAAATAAAAAGTCGACAGCCAACACAAGCACCCAATATGAACCAAGGTTACATGCCTCAAAACAGTGGTCCAATACCAAATCAAGGACCAGTTCCCGTACCAATATCAGGTCCAGTTCCAGGTCCAGTTTCAGTCGCAGGCCCAGTAACGGTTCCCGGTGTAGTACCTGGACCAGTTCCAGGGTCTGTACCAATGGGTCCAACTGGTGGACCTCCTCCAAATCAAGGTCCACCTCAACACATGTTCCAAAGAGGCCAAATAATGATGCAACGGCCAATGAGAGCCAGACAACCTCAACCACCTCCACAAGCACCACCTCAAATGGCTATGGCACAACAAAACCAAATGCAAAGCAATCAAATGTACCAACAAATGGCTCCAACTAATCAAATGGTTCCACAAAATGTTAATATGCCACCAAATCAAATGCATCATATGCCCAATCAACCTCAAAATAACTACGGAGGGCCACCACCAAACATGACTTACTCCAATTCAATGCAAATGCAAGGTATGGATCAACAAATGGGCGGACATGGTATGAATCAAGGTTACCCTCCACAAGCTCCGAATCAGCAAAATCCAGCAATGATGAACTCGGTGATGAGGCAACAATTACATCCACAAGCAGGACATCATCCTCAAGGTCAACCAGGACCTCCAATGGCTCAACAACAACAACAGCAGCAACAACAACAACAACAACAACCTCCACCACAACATCATCCACAGCAACAATACATCCAACCAGGACAAATGAATTCGTATATGCAGTGGTAGCACTGTTTAAAACAAAACTCGTGATAGCACTTCATCTTTAAGAGTAGATCAAAACTACCAATTTCATCATCATCTTAATCATTTTCATAATCATCTTCTTCATTGAAAAGGAGACACATCCGCTAACCTTCATTTTACTACTTGTTATAAATGTTTATCAAATACTACTGAAGGTCTCATTAACTTCTTATGCTATGAAGGATGCGAAAAATACAAAGAAAGCTTGTTTATTGTAAATTTTCATATTGAATTTGATTCATCTCATAAAAGAGGTTAATCTGATGTAAACCATATTTAATAATTTCGTTTGTTTTTTTGCTATTCTTTGCCCATTTCTTTCTCAAATTTTTCTCTATAAAATGGATGATCAATAGATTTACTACTTTGGAAACTCATTTTCACTAATCTCTCTCTCTCTCTCCTTCCATGAATCCCAATTTTATCATCATTTCCATTTTGTACACTTAAATCATCATTTCTATCAAAAATTCTCTTCGCTGTCTAATCAAGATTCTTCATCATCTTCATCATCATCTTGATCACCTTTTTGGTTGCAATAAAAGTCGCTAGAAGATTAGATTACGGACCAAATTGTGATGATCGACTGTATCCCCACATAATTGTGTCATTTCAACCAATCAATTATTCAACAATTGTAAAAGCTTTTCCAACAACAAGTAAAGGCCTTTGTTAAATTATAGTTAGTAAATTTTTCTAATCCAATCGGTCAACAATTAATTATGACGATAAATAAACTGTCTTATAAAAATCAACTTTTCCATTTGTAACTAATTCATATTTTCACCCAAATGACAAAAAATGCTCACATGAATCAAGTGAATAACAATTATTGCTTTTAATAGGCGATAATAGTTTGAAGCAACTAAGTTAATTTAGCTAACAATTAATTAGTTTATGATATTAACAATTTGAAAACATGGTAATTTAACATAAGTAAAACAAAAATTGATTCAAGAAAAATAAACATAAAAATGCAAACAGATTGATAATTATCATATAATTTTGATGATCACGTCAGTTTTTTAGTTGCAACAATTAAAACTTTAAGAGTTTCATTCAATGATTACTTTGATTTTGAACATTAATCAATCGTTTATTAGTTGATCAGTGTCTTAATTTTCCAAGGCACTTCGAGTCGGTTCAATGTATTAATAGTTATGACGTTTAACTGAATTGGTTACTCTTCAAGTTGCACTTTTTGTTTCCTCAAGATTATCATGATAACAAAGATGATTGTTATTGCTTTGCAATTAAGTTAATTGGTGAAAATAAATTATTTTCTATTCAACAAAAGGCGAATTCCAAATGAACTATATTGTATATTAGTTTGTTGACTAGATTCTAAACTTTTGTCTCTTATGTAACCAGCGATTATATCAAGTGATTTAGCGACACTTCCTGGTCCAGGTAAAGTTAAATCGTAAACATTTCGGATAAAATCCTCTTCCAACATTAGATTTTTACATTGAGATAATTTAAGATGTTCCAGTGAACCTTTCAGAGCGGTTAATAGGCCGATTACATGGTTTTGTCGAATGTCAATCTCTTTAACTTCCATAATTAAATGGGTCAAACTGTGAAGTCGAGTTAATTTAAGAAGATCATCTCCCATTAAGGGTCGTCGACGTTGAGTAAATTCATCGTTTAAAGCTAATCTTTTAAGCTTTGGTGTTACGTTGATTAGATTTTCGAAAAAGTGTCGACGAACATAAAAGTTTGTCAACGAAAGATTTTGCAAATTCTTAATTGGTGCCAAGAAATTAATTAAACTAACATCGTTTCCAAATGATGTTTCTTGAACACAAACGGATAATGTTAACGAATCAAGATGATTAAGAACATGAGTCTCAGGTAATCTGAATGTTTCATCGGATAAAAAGATTGTCAATTTTTCCAGATTAGGTAATTTACTGCAAATCTGATGAAATAAATTGGTTGTTGTGGTTGTTAATAGTAGATGAGTTAATCGCTCGCAGGTTAATTGTTGATTAAGAAGCGGACAAAGTATTGCAAAGTTACTTATGTCATCAAATCCAAGGTCTAAATGAAGTCCTTTAAATTTAGTTCCCAGTTGATTGGGCCAATCATTATAACCTGTAATCAAAATACAATTAAAAGTTTAATTAATCATCAAAGCAAACAAAATACTATACAGAAGATTAGTTAATCAATTGAGTTTCTAGATTTCTCCAACAATCAAAAATTTCCTTCAATATCCATCAATAGTCAACATTGGCAAATTAATTGTAAACATATTGACTGATTAGATACACTGAATTTATCATCATTATTAATTTGAAACAATTAACTCAATTCATATATACAGAGACATTGATATAAAATGTATTAATACATATTAAATGATTATAATTGAATCAGTTAATTGTTATTTTTAAGTAATCGTTTTGTTTTTCCAAAAACAAATCAATCATTGATTGAAAACTTTTTTCAACAATTTAATCGTAATCATCATAAACTTGATTGCAATTAAAAGCATCACGTTTTCAATATCTGATCATCATCATCATCATTAAGTTTTTAATGACAATTATCAAGTGTAGATGAAATTAATTTCTATCAAGGTAAATCATTTTTTTTCTGTAAAATTCAATCAATGGGAAAAGTGAGAAAATTGATTAAAATCAATTAACTAATTAACCGTTTTTCTTAAATAAAATCTGGTTAACCTTGAAATGGCTTTAATGACCAAAAGCCCATAAGCAGAATCAAAATTGTCAGATCATGAAAACAACAGAATAACAAATTAAATATCATGATATTAATCGGTAAACACTGATTCCATCACAAATCAAGGTTGAAAATGATCATTTACAATTAACTAACAACAATTAACATTAAACTTTGAACAAATGAACAAATGAACGGTCTAATTTAACTTTTTTCTTTTCGACAAAACTTTCCGCATATAAAACAAGAGAGAGAGAGAGAGAGAGAGCAAAAAATTGAATCAACTGAATTTAAATTAACATAATCAACTGGTTAATAACGATTAGCACTTTCTCTCTTCAACAATCAACAACAATTTAATGTTAATTGAGGTGAGACATCGACCTAGATCAACATGATTCAATAGACGAACAGCATGAAATCAACAAAGTTGAAGGCTTAAGGCCATCATCAATTTCATCATTATCCTGATCATCTTAATCGTAATTATCATCACCATGATCAAATCGTTTCTTAATCATAATGATACCAATCAAAAACTTTAAAGGTTTAATTGGAAAACTCATCCAACAACAAACTGACCCAAAGTTTGATATCATTGAAATCAGTTAGTTAAGTTAACACTTACAAGTAAATCAATTAGATGAAGATTGATTAACTAAATTGTGAAGAGAAGCAGAAAAAAAATCCAAAATAAAAGTTAATTCAATGATTACAAATACAATTAACCATAAAAACAAAATCAATAATAATAATATTAATATTAATACAAATACAAAATTAATCAACACAAATGAAAGTGAAAAATGATTAATATCATGATGATTTAATTGATAACTGTAAATATTGAAAGTTAATAACAATTAAAATACAACCTGACACACCCTTTGATCTTGACAAGGTCAATTGAAATTTCCCGCTATTCCAACGATATTCAAACAAATTGTTAACTCAATCATTTGATCACTTTCTCTGATTGTATTATAACAATTAACAAGTAACAATCAAGTTGATTGTTACGTTTACCTTTTTCATGTTATTTACAATTAATACTATTTACTCATCAGATGATTAATGAATATAAAGTTAATCAATGAACAGTATGTAAATCAATAAATTGAAAAGGGTCAATTGGAAAATTAAATAATAATAATAATAATACAATTAATATAAAATCAGTTAATTGTATTACTTTGATTACTTGTAATGTGATTAATTTAGTTGGAAAAGTGTAAGTTTTGTATGTAACATAAAAACAAAGTAAATATTAGGGAAAACAAAAAAAAGAGAAAGTTTAATTTAGTTGACAAACTAGTTTCGCAATTAGTTAATAAGGTTACAATTAATTAATTGTATTGATCACTGATGAGAAATAATCTGTGTCAACCTTCAAACAGAATTGATGATATTAGTTATTACTTTTAATAGCTACGATTAAAACACTCAACTTATTCACAAGATTCCAAGGTTTTAATTTCCTCGGTTTCCTGAGTTTCGTTGATACATAACAATAGTAACGAAGTGATTAAGATGAGCAATTTCATTGTAATTAAATTGGTCAAATTTAACCTCCAAATTGTTGACTCAACCATCATCACAATGATCGTATCAATTTTTACATCTATTAAATGAGCAAGTAGAAAAATATAATTTCCGTTCCATTGAGTTATCATGTTAAGAACGTAAATATATTTGATTCATATGAGTAAAAAAAAAAGAGATAAAAAAAATAATAAAGATGAATGAAAAATTTTTCGATGAAATTTTCGTTTTGTTGTTGTTGTTATTGTTGTTCTTTGTCGTTGTTGAGTTTTCTTTCTGAGATAAATCATATAGATGGAAATTCAATGTCACATCGAATGAGGTGATGTGAATAGGGCGTTGACTATGGTGATCATCATCATGTTAATCATGATTATTATGAAATCAATTGGAAGAGATAATCTGATCCATCAAGGTAAAAATTGTTGCAAAGATTAAAACAATATACTGATAATGTCAATTGTTAGACACACGACAAGGTTTCATAAGAAATAATAATAATAATCATTCATCATCATCATCATCATCATGTTCATTTGCATTCAAAGACAATAACAATTGATAAGATAATCAATAATTGTGCTGAGAGATATTGGTTGATAATATTTAAAGAGAAGGCAACAGAAACAATTGGATGAACTTCATGGGGAAAAAAATGAGAACAGAGAAAGTTGGAAATTCTTATCGTTACTCTCTATCTCTGTTTGCATGATGTTGATGATTAAAATAAAAGTAAATTGATTAAGGTAAATTGTTCTCAAATATATTATATTATATCAACTATATTGGTAACGAATATTGGAAAATCAAGAATTCCAATTGATTTTCATTCGTTTTCAAAGGAGAGATTTAAAATATTACTTTGCAAATTTGTATCATGAAAAGTGACTGGAAGGAGGATAAGACCTAAATTCTGGTTCAAACTGATGATAAATTATCAAGATGAAAATTTTATTATCTTGTACTATTTTTATATCGATTGGTTTACTTTTTTTTTCTTGTAATGAAAAAAAAAATTATATTCTAGGCTTCGTTTTGTAATTGTGTGTATATAATTCTTGGTCTAATTATATGAGTATGATGATGATCATTTGAGAGGATATTTAAAATCAACTGATTGTTGATTATTATTATTACTTTTCACTGGATAACCTTACCTTGACATTGAACGACCTGTCCATAGATACCAAGGAATTGAAGGTTAATCAATCGTTTACTTATTAAATTAAGAGTCTTCTCACTAATATTATCATTGATTGATAAATGTCTTAATGATTGGGAATGAGAATCGACAATTAATTGTAAACATTTTTCAACCGCCAAAGAATCACTGAAATGAGGTAAATGTAAACATTTAAGGTGATTTATGTTAGAGATGAGAGATGATAAAATACCAAGCCAACCACCTTTACCATTTAAATTTGATGACCAACAATCATAATCATCTATACGGATAACAGTTAAATTGGAACACCATTTGGTTAAATTAACAATTGAACTTGGATCACAATGAGATCTCAATGAGACAATATCAGTTCGATTTGGTTGATGATAATCATCGAGACAACATGAAGTCGATGGGAAACCAGAGAATGATGAAAAGGCAGAAGATGAAGTTGACGAAGATGAAGATGAACAAGATGAAGATGAGGTTATATTAAGGATACTTTGTCGATCAAGTATTGAAGCTGTAAGGTTCATCCATGATTTAGAAATTGTTAGACAATTCAATTTATCGGGTAAACTTAAGTAAGAAAATATCTTTTCTAAAACAAGAACAGGTAAATTATCCATGGTAAGAGTTTTTTCCATCCTTGTTTTCATGTATTTTACAGAAGAAGAGAGGAAGACAAAGAAGAGAAGAAGAGAAAAAAAAGAGATAAACAAAAACAAAGAACAATAATAACAACAATGGAGAAAAAGAAGAAGAAAAAAAAGTGAAAAGATAAACACAGAGAATCTCAGATGGAAAAGAAAATCAGAGAAAGAAGAGAGAGTTTAATTCCAATACGAGGCGAAGAAAAATATACTATCCAAAAGCGAGAAGATTTAACAACATTAATAAGTAACATTAATTAGAATTAAAATGAGCAACAATTAAGAGAAGATTAATTTATTTAATAACAAGAAATAAATGGCAATTGAACTCGGCGGTAAACAGAATCAGTTTGTTTACAATTTTCTTCTCTCTTTTTCTCTCTCTTTTTTTCTTTTCCCTTTTTTCTTTTCCCTCTTTTCGCTAAAAATCACACTTATCATTTTCTATTCTTTTTTTGATTTTATTCAATTTTTTCTCTTTAACTGTTAATCATCGTTGGTTAATCTGAATTTGTTTTCTTTTCTTTTCAATTTATTAATTATTTCCAATCAACTGGATCAATAGGTGTGCCCTTTCTCTGGCTTTGGTTAAGAATAAAACTCAAATTATTATCTAATTTTTTTCTCATCTAAACTAATCAAGTGATCTCTTTGCCTATCATCATCTCTTAAGTATCTTTATCCCAATTGCCATCTCTTCATATTGTTGATCTTATTGATCATGATTACGGTGAGTTTTATGTATTTAATTGATTGTTTCTTAATAGTTTTTAATCTAATATGATGTTAACATGATCTCATTCTCTCTCTTATATTCTTTGTCTTTTTTTCCTCTTATTATTCAGATGATATGGTGACTTTTTCCATCACTTGAAGGGCTTGTTGTTTGAACATTTTCCAAGGGGATTCACGATTTACCATCAATTTGGAATCAGTTGATTATGATTATTGGCAAATTTCCTTTGGTTTTAATTGTAAAAATTGCCAAACAGGAAATCTACTTGCAATTATCTATCTGATTGCTGATTCGTACCTTGCATTTTAAAATGTCGCTCAATTTTGATCATATCCTATCAAGAGATAGTTTTACCATCACTCACAATTTATTTAATTCAAGTGAAAAGCAAGGACGATTAATTTGAATCTGCTACTGTTAACCAGCTATCACATTAATTATTGAATTGATCAGAGGAAAGTGTTTTCAATTGTCTTGAAAAGTAATTCAATCAATTGTTTGAAGTACAAAAAAACTAACTCATTACATTCAGAATTTCAATCAATAGATGGCACCGTTTACACTTTAATTGTAATTGTTGTTTAGTTACTTTCTAAATCAACCTAATCAATCAATTACTCAATTTGCTTGTGGATTAATGAAAATACCTCATTAATTGACATATTTTCCGACTAAATATTTTACAATTTAGTTTATACGGAATGACAACAATTGACTCATTACTTGTTGTTAATCATCAATTTCCACCGATTACAATTCAGATTAATCTCCGGAAACTTAATCACTTTGATGATTTCATCCTGTCGCCAATTTTTACAATTGATTAAATCAATTTAATGAAACACTATTCACAATCAAGAAACAGTTTAACTAATCCTTTTTCAAGAAAACAAAACTGACACTAGATAATCAACAATTTCAAAAGTAATTTAATCAAAGGTAGTCCAATAGTTGATTTAATATTTTGATTAAATAATCAACTATTAACTAGTCAATCAAATAATTCTTGGGATTATCAAGTATCCCAACTTGAAAATAATCAAGTTTAAATTGTGAGTTTACCCTAATAGTTTAATTATATACAAATATCGCCAATTAATCATAATTAATAACAGAAATTGAATAGAAATTGTAATAACAATTAACTCTAAGTGAAAAACATTATTGATGCTCAAATAATTAACAGTTTTTTGTTTCTTTATAATTTAGTTTCCATTGTTTTGGACAATCAATGTTATCTTTTGGTTGATTATGGATGACATGATAATCATGAATGAATGAATCAGAAAAGACTAATTGTCAAAAACTTAATTATTAATCAAATTTTTGATAATGAAAACTTTTAAATCATATAACATATTTTTTTTCATGTTACAATTAATCAAATTGTTTGAATGAAAAATTATGTTCAAATCACTCGAGTGTAAATTTGATTAATACAAATTTCAAGATTCAGTTTTTAATGTTTACAGAATGTCAATTAATATTAATATTAATTGTTGAAAATTGTCAATTAACTATTACATTGATCTTTAAATAAGATTCTTAATTGATTGTTAGGTAAATCACTTGATTTGATGTTAAATTATCTCAATTAGTTTATCATTGATTCTTTGAATCAATGAACAATTAGCAGAGAGAGAAAGAGTAATTTTCTGCTGATTAATCAAATCAACGATAACAATTAAAGAAAAGGATTAGATTAAACTGTTTGAACCATCGGAATTAATCTGAACAATATTGATCAACGATTGAGGAAAGTTCTGAATGGGAATCTTTCTCACCAATTACTGATTAATTCTGATAATAAAAATCAATTAAAGGAATTAAATCAATTAATCAATGATTAGATTTTCCAATGAAAACATTTTCCTTTTTTTCTCAATTATAATAACAATTAAATGTTGATACATCGAGTCTTTTATTTTCCCCTCAAGCAAATTAACCAAATGTGGAAAAGGAAAACAATATAAATTATTAACAATTAACTAATTGTACATAAATAATCAGTTAATTAAATAATGTCTCATGAAAGTTTCTCCATGTAAATTTACTTAGCAATTAGCAGGTTAATTTATATAAAATTGATACAATTTGATTGATGGAAGTAAATTAAATTTACTTGTCATAATCAAGTTAATTGTCTACTCAATCATTTAATTGTTTTTTAATGTTCCGTAATAAAAAAAAATATTAGGATCTAATTTGTGGTTAGCTAATGATGATTGTTTAAAATGTTAATCCAACAATTAAGTGACATTTAGATTTCAATTGGTTGTTTTTTTACACTCATCAACTAATTACAATAAACCAGAAAAATTTAACAATCAATTGGAAGCAGAAAAAAATCAAATGGAACAATTTAAAAATTATTCTGATACTTTATCATTAATAAATGTTTCCTGAAATTAACTGTTAATTGTTGGATTACATTTAAGTCAAACATGTTCAAATATCTACAATTAAGACTAATTCAAATTAACAATCAAAAAGGTTTTGGGATAATGTGATTACAATTAACTTTTCAAAAGGTTCAGGGTTGAAATTTACCAATAGTTAGATGATTGAGTTTACAATTTAAACCGGAAACTCAATTAAATCATATTATCGATGATTAAATTTTAATTCTTACCGTTAATTGTAAATCATATACACATGATAATAGTGATTTATTAATACAAATTAAATCTCTAATGATTTATGATAATCAACCACCAACATGAAACTAATAACCATGAGGATTAACAATTAAGATTGAATATCCGATAATGTCAATAATATTAAGCATTGGTGTTAAATTATGTTCATTAATTACAATTTAATCCAATAATCTGATTTATTAAATAAATTGGTAAATATTAAAAGTTAATTATAACTGTTACAATAAACTATTAAGCTGATTACTACAGATTGATACAAAAAAATTAACTGATTTGATATTGACAATCAAAGTAACGATGACAATTTAATATTAAAAAGATACAAACTATTATATTTTTAATGGTTTGAATTAACTTTTAATAGATTCCGATCAACAATCAACAATATCATAATCAAATTACATTAGATAATCAAGTTAATCAATTCAATTGTCTATCAAGCAATCAAATTTATTAATACAATTACCTTGAAAATAAAATCATTAAACTCAAATCAAATGAGAAGCCAATCAAATAAACAATCAATTGATTAATTGTGGACAAATTTATCCACAATTAAAAAGTTTCTTTCTCATTGAAATTGAATACAATTTAATGAAGTAAATTAAGCAATTGTGATAAGTTAATTGTGATCAAAATGAGCAAATTAATTATATAAATTAAACCCAAAGGATTTTGACAAAAGTAAACAAAAGTTTTGTTGTTACTCGAGTTGAAAAGTTAATTGTTTTCAAAATCAAACGTTTACTGTCAAAGTTAATTAGTATCATCAAGTTGATCATTCAACATGATCATCTTAATTATAATCATCAATTGTTGATGTTTCTGATCATTTTGTCTCTTTTTATCTTGACCTTGTTAACTCTTCATTTAAATCTTAATCCTTTTTGCTTTAATTGTCATTCAAATGGTAAAAGTGATTAAATGACAATTAACTATCAATGAGCTGGAAACTTAACATAAATACATTTGATTGTTTACTGATTCTTTCAGTAACCAAAAAAAAAAGAGAAACAATTAAATTGACTAAATCAAGATTAATTAACAAATGAGAAAAATAATACTTTTCATATAATCAACTAATCAATGAATCAAGATGACAATACAATTGGGTGCGGATGAGAAAAAAAGTCAGCAACTTAAAACTAAATTAAAAGTCAATCGCAATTAAATCAATCATCAAGGAAGTTTACAATCAACAAATTGCAAATCATTTGATGTCTTCAATTGTCAATTAATCAATTAAGATCAATTTGTAACGAAGATATAACTGTTAATGATTAAAATCAACGATTGTTAATGCGATTAAAAAAATTTTTTTTTTCGTTTAATTGGTTGATTACAGTAATTACAATGGTGATTAAGTTAAATTAATCAATTTAAGATGATATGGAAACAGTATTGATGATTAAAACAGCTATTTGGGAATAGATTACATTTACAATTAAGAGATAGAGAGATTGAGTAGTGTGAAAAATTAAGGATTGATTGATTGGCAATAATTAGTAAATAACATTAGGAGAGCAATTAACTGATTGTTGTAGGATAAATTTTCAATCGTAATCAAATTTGTTTGCTCCATAAGAATAGTCATCAAAAGGTAACTTTTTATCATGATGATTAAGTGAATGTCCAAAGCTAAATTGTGGTGAACTTTGATAAGATTCCTTGTGATTAGTTGAATAACCGTAGGGATTTTCAATGTGATTATGATGATTAGTGTAGGAATTAGGATTAGAATCATATCCATTTGATTGATAGTGGGAACGATAACCAGGGGACACTTGATCATTTGGATAAAATTTCTCTGAATCTTCCTGATCCCTTGATCCTCGATATTCAGATGAATCTGAACCATATCGTCCATACATCGAGTCACCTCGATAATCGTTGTTACTATTGTACACTGATGGTCCATCTGAATCTTGTTCATTACCTGGCATATAAGCGATTCCAAGTGAATCATCATGATACATTCTGTTACCATTGGCTGAGCCTCGACCAACGAATCGTTTCAAGTGTGGATACCATTTAGCAAGATAAGCATAGGATCTGCTATTCGGAGGATTTGGTGGATTATCATAACTCTTTGGATTATATTCATCATTGAATTCTGAATGATCACCAAAATAGTCGTCACATTTTATCATGGAAACAAGTAAAGGTAAAATTAACACAGAAAGTAACATAATTTTATCACAAAAGTGAAATGTGAATACGATGATGAGGAAGAAAAAAAAAGTTTCGTCAACACTAACGATAGGAAAATGGAAACTGAATTCAATTCTTGAATCGTTGAGACGTTAAAACCAATCGATAAGTGAGAGTGTTTCATGTTCCCGTAATGTTTAACTGTCTCACTCGAATTTTTTTGGCCTCACAAGGCGGGAAACAGTTGATTCAAAATGCATGAGTGCAGAGTTATGGTTAGAACGTGTTAAAGTAGTTCGAACGTGATTATCCATCCATGAAACGATATCATCATGTAATTTTCATGTTCAGATTAGATTGTAAGACAGAAAAAGGGAGATTAAGAATGAGAGTGAACCAAAAAAAAAAACAATATTGATCTGCATTAATCGGCACGTTCGTGATAAAATGGCCTTAGAACAATACTTATAATTAAATCGACAAAATGACCAAAATCGAATCGATTTATTTCAATTCAGTTAATATGAAAGATCAATTTAGTCCTTAATCCGTTGATTGTTCATTTATTAATATAATTGAGCTTTTCGTTTTCATTTTCGCAATTTAACTTGATTAGTTGGGTTAATATTTTTCTCTCCTTCTATTATTAATCTTAACGGATTAACTTACAATCAGAATAACAAATCTACTGATTAGCTAATTATTGATTAAATCCAGTTCATTTAAGATTATTATTATTACTATTACACTAATAATGTACCTTGGCTAATTTGTTAATATGTAATAATCCATTTATCTTATTAAGATATACATCATTTTAAACACAATTAACATGATTGATCAAGACAATTGTCTTGATCAATGTAAGATTAATGATATTAGATTACAGGTAATTAAACTAATCAGACTCAACATGAAATATTGGTAATTGATCACGATCATGATGTTTATCTGATTGAACTTTTTTTCTTAATCAAATTGAGTCTAAATTATGTTCAAGTTTCTTTTTTTTTTCATTGTCAACTAACAATTAAAAATAATTAGTATCTTGATTAGGTTGATTGTTACTTTCACACACAATGTTAACTTGTATCTACATGATTAACTGATTGTTATTAATGATTATCATTATTCACTGAACATAATGAAGGATTAATCAATTGATTATCAATGAATTCAAATGAACATGATAATCTTGAAACGATAATCATTTGAATCATGAAAGTTAGGTGAATTCATTGGACCATAATGAAAGTCCAATGAATCAAAGCTTAATAATTGGATTAAATTAAACCAATAATTAATTATTTACATTAATCTATTTTAATTTGATTCAATAAGAATGGATTAAAATTGAATAACTTCCGTTGATTGTTCATTGATCCAATTCAGTATTTAAGGTAATAAAAATTAATCAACATTGACCAGATCATGAGAGTAAATTATTAATTTAATTGTGATGAGAATGATGAAAAGATGATCAATTTAATTGAGAAAATGAGAGAAGGAAAATTTTCTCATTCAATCCAATTGAATTGTAGATTTTGATTCAGACATTTATCGTTGATTCAGATTAATCTGACAGATTCATGAAAAGAAACCCAGATAACTGTTAATAACATTTTCTTTTCTTATTTTCTATTCTCATTGTATATATTTTATCTTAAACCGGAAGCTTAACTATCGTGTATCAATGTGCTCAATGAAGATGAACTAGTGACCGGAAATCGGGATTAAAATGTGGCCATTTTTTTTGTTTATTTGTTTGATGCAATAAAAGTTTAGGAAAAGATTTACTTTGACCGGAAGTTTTTCTAGAAATCATTCAGCGGAAGTTGAAATGTTTTTCATTCATTTAATTCAATCTTAAGTATGTCTAATTCATCATGATTAGTTGTTTATATTAAGAGGTTCGGATATAAATTTTAAGGTCAAATTGTCAATCGGCTTTAAGATCCTAAAATTTTCTCCTATCCTTTATCATTGAAGATGAAAGTTCTGTGAAAAAAAAGTTATATACATTTTTTGGTGTTGGTGGAAACGGAAATGATGAACATAACCGAGTTGATTAACTATTAAGATTTCAAAAGTTATGGTCAAGGGGAACAAGTTTGACAAATGGTGACAGCAACTGAATGATAAACATATCAAAACCCCTTGAGAGTTGATTAAAAAACTTGATTAACTTTGATTATTTGAGATAATCCTTAATCACTCAACCTTGATTAATCAGGCATGGAATTGAATCAATGTTTTAATCAGCATTTTTTTTTCTTGTTACAATCTCGAAGCTCAAAGTAATCACTTTTTATTGGTCATTTACAAAACTTTGCAAAAACTTTTTCGATAACTTTTTTCCCTGATAAAAATATTAATCCAATTACCTTGATAAGGTCAACTAACAATCAATTTAAAGACAATTAACTATTAGATTAACGTACAAAAAAACTCGGTGAAAGTATTAATAGTTTTAAGGTTGTTTTCGGTACGATTAATGTTCTAAGAGAAATTTAAAAAAATCTTTTCGATATCGAACTTGTTATCAGACCTTTCGATACATTTAACCGGTCACTTCGAGTCGTTGGTCAGTAAGGAGAAGATGATTTTTAATTATTATCATTAAATTTTATCGTATAAACAGTAATCAAGCAAATTGAATTATTAATTAACTTTAAATCCCTAATGTATTACATGTGATTATTAAACTTTATTATCACACGATTTCCATTAAAAATTAAGCCTCTTCTTTTAATCATTAATCCATTTGGCTGAAAATTAAATATCGGATAAATTAATCAATTAGATGACGAAACCAACATTTAACGAGAAGATCGGTCAGTTGATTAACGAGAAGAATTGACAAACAAATTGATTACGATTAATTATCGTTTCGTTCAAATGCTATTTCACTAGTTTTAGTTGGAAATAATATTCCTAACAATTAACTAATTACATATTCCATCTTAATGAAAGATGTAAATTTAATCCTGTCTTTTTGTACAGATTAAAAAGTAATTATCATTAATTGTTGTTTTAAACTTTTACCATCAAGTAAATGTCTCACACAGAACCAATTAATTAATCCAGTTACTAGTTTCGTTAGTAAATATATATTTAATCATAGTGATTAATGTGGCTTCATTGAAAGTTCATTCAAATTTAGATATTCAGAAAGTATCATGAACAATGAACCATTGAAAATGAGCTAATAGTTACAATAAATCATGATAAAAGTTGATCAATTTACTGAATTTATCCTTGTCTTTTTCAATCAAATCTTAATGACGTTTTAAAAAGTAATTGTTATCGATTAAGAGAGAGAGATGATATTATTAGAAATTTTAATTCATCAATGGCAATTTACTAACTGTGATCAGATAATTTATCTACTGGTAATCATGGATTATCTGAGTTGACAGAATCTCAATAGACACAGAATTGAGTTTATCTGAAGCGAATGAACAAAAAAAAATCTAAGAGAAAAGTTGAAACTAATTTATAATGATTTTCAACTGTTGAAAACATGAAGATTATATCATGGAATTAATTTGAAACTGAATTAAGATAATGATAGTGATGATTAAACAGAATTTTATCTTCTTTCCTTTTTCCTTTTTTTTCTTTCTTTGCATCATCATCTTTATTTCAATTCTCATCTTCTTCTTTTAATTCATTTTCTATCTCAATCAACATCATCATGGAAATAAAGTTGATGTAAATTTGTAACTTTATCATTTGTTAATCAGGAAGAAGAAGGAGAAGAAAAATAAAAACTGAATTAAGTTTCTTTCAGAAATAATAACCAGTAGAGAATAATTTTCTTCTCTGAACATCATGTAAATATCATGGTGAAAATATGAACATGTTTTCGTCATCAGTTTAATCATGACTTTTGATCAATAGAACTTTTCATTCAATGACTTAAAATTCAACTAAACGGCCTTAAAATATTATCTTTTTAGACCGAGAATAACAAGGAATCCGAATTAATATGAGAACGAGTAAAAGATAATCTATTTAAACTGAATCTTTATGTTATTTTTTCAATTCTCTTTTTCTGAGCTACATGTTTTTTCACAAGAACTTTTTTCCTCTTCTTTTTATCTTCATTTTGGTTGCTTCCTTTTTCCTTGTTCATCATCATCATCATCATCATGTTGTTGTTGTTATAATACTTTTCTCTTTGTGTACAACATGAAAAAAAGGTTTTGATGAAGAAACATCAAAGTGGAAAGAGGAAGATGAGGAAAAGAGTGAAAAAGGATAAGTAAAGGGTAGAAGATGATGGAGACTGCAAGAGAGAGAGAGAGAGAGAGAGAGAGAGAGAGAACATAAGAAGACGAGGAAGATAATGCTGATGATGATAGAGAAAAATAAGATAAGAAAACGACTCATGGTAAAAAAGTAACATGAACAAGGTTATTTTAAGGTTAATGCAGCGGAAGTTTTCACTGGTCATGAATATTTGTCATTCCATCTCCTGAGTACAAAAATTTGATTCAGATTCTATTCATTCAACTGTACTTATTTACTGAACTTTATCTGCCCTCAGGGTAGATTATAATAAATTTGGTAACATAATGATCGTAATGAACTATTTTGTTATTATTATTGATCAACTAATGTTGAAATGAAAATGTTATCAAGATTAAATCTGATGAAAATATTTCATCATGATCATTTTAATCAACTTGAAAATGTAATTGTGGTAATCTGGTAACTTTATTGGTTTCTAGCAAATTATTACATTGATTTGATTAACATTAATAAGAAGCTCTTACCTTGCAAAATTTCATGATATCAATATTTGATTCCCAAGAATAATGATTTTTCACTCTGAAAATGTTCAATTGTTGCTGATGAAGCGATAATAATAATAATAACAATAAAAGGTCAGAAACTTAAATTGGATAAAGTTTTAACGATTCTAAGGTTTTGTGATATTATCTTTTTTCAAGTATCGTTGTCAGAACTTTTGATATTTATTCAGTTTATTAGATTGTTATATCAATTTGTTAGATTACCAGGAAATGATTGA